GGCTTTGGGGAGATTGAATGGGGAGCCGAGTGGCGGTGGAAGGGGGAGAGAGATAGAGATAAATCGGTAGACTGAGCTTTAGGGGATTGGGATTATAAAAGGAAGGATAGTGGATAGTGGATGCTGGATAGGAAACTTGAGATGTGCTGGCTAGGAAGAGTTGGGATAGATGGATTGTGGATGGAATGAATATTAGGTGGTCCATCAGTTCAAAGTGAAGGAGGAGGAATCGAAGTTGGAGTTGGAGTGAGATACTACAGTACTAGACTACTTCTACTTGACGGTCAAGACACCTATCTTAAATATCGCCAGAACCTATCATCTCAGTCCTAAAATGCCATTCCTCAACAGAGGCTTAATAGTACGATATCAAATAAGCCGAAGACATGAGCTAATAAAGATAAAGACAGCAAAGTGAATGAATAACAAAAGCAAAGCGAATGGTAAAACTTATAATTTTAGAAATTTCCTACTCACTTACTTACCAACCCTCCTCGAACGGAAAATTAGACACTTCATACAATCATATCAACATCCGCACCACCATCCGCACCACCATGTATATACAAAACTCCCCTTCACTTCCACTTCCACTTCCTTCTCGTCTCCACCAAAATATTCTTCCGCTGAACATCCGAATGCGTAAAAACGGGTTTACGATCCTCAGCCGCAAGAACATCTAATAACTGATCCTCGAAAAAATCCGCAAGATAAGAGTATTTTCCATTTCTTTCGGCTTCCCATCTCGATCGCGCGATCACTCCTCGAACAAAAGCGCGTTCTGTCCTGAAAGGCCCGGATACTTGAGCATTGTTCACAGACGAGTAGAAGAGATGATGAGGAACTGCTTCCCCATTAACTGCACCAAAAAAAATCCTCATGTGGTAATTTCCTAATTTCGACAAAAGATATCTCCAAGTTTCGAGAGAATGATTGTTTTTCTGAGGCTCTAAGAGCGGGCCAAATAGACTCGAGCGTTTCCCCACGTAGTATCTCCATCACGAGAAATAAGTGGCCATCGTCATCTTTCCACATGACATATATATGACGCACATAACCTCTGATACTATTATTCTCGAGAAAGAGTAGATTGTCCCCTCAACTTGCCGATTATATTGACTATATTTCACAATGAAATGTTCACCAACTCCAACAACTCTTGAATGCCCATGCATCAGCTCCTTTTAGAATTTCTTTTGAGGAAAGAATTTCCTCGGTGCTTGGAAGTGGTGCGGGTCATTCGTTCGTGTTGCGATAGTAGGGGATCTGCAAAGACGTCATGATGTTAGGTAGGGTGTTCTATCTCAGTTGAGGTTCAAATTTCAGGTTAAGAAGAGCTGTTTGTGCTTGTTATAGTAGGGTTGCGTGGTGATTATATATATGCTGAATGCTGGCTAATTATTCCCTAGAGATATCGATGCTATAACCTAGATGGCATGGCACAATGGCATTTTCGTGGAAGTGATTTCGTACTGGTGACCATATCACAGGGAACATCACAGGATGGAATATGTGAGTAAAAACCGTACAAATCGTAGAACTTCCAACGGCTTTATTTCACACCAAGAAACTCATGGAACTACTAGGTACCTATCAAAAAGTCCGACTACGTACCCTACCCTCATACGCATAGAGGGGTTGAGATTTAGAATTCTTATCCACCACCACCATCAAAGCAGAAAGCTTTCAATATCAAGACTATAAAGACAGAATAATACAGGAGGGATGGACTTTCTACGAACCCTGGGTATCTCGTCCTCTCATGATTAAATGTACAGAGTGGACTGTGAACCAGACCACATATTCCAGCTTTGTACTGTAAGCCTCAGGTGTTTTGCAGAAGTGAGTTTAGGGACCTTGGTGTGTTTCAGGGATATGATTATATGGATGTGTCTATCAACTGTTTAGATGTGCTTTGGTGGATATTTAGGAGGACAGTGATTGTTGGTATCGATTTGGTTGTATTGAAGAGTAAAGTAGTCCGATTTATTGTGTTGATGGTTGGGCTTGATTGAGCCTATTCTGTGTTAGAAGTAAGATCTTTGTGTATGGGAAGGGTTTAGTGTCTACAGTGACTGGAACTGTCCCGGTACTGACTTGATTACTTTGATGAGTGCTGGATGCGGGAAGAGTGATGGCGACAGTTAAGGGGGGAGTGGAGAGGAAGAGTGTGAAGGGAGAGTAGGGTAGAGTAGGGGGAAGAGTGAGGCGGAAGAATGAGAAGGGGGAGTAGGGAGGAATAGGGAGACGAGCGAGGAGGAAGAGTAAAGGGCAGGTGGTCATTTTCGCGAAAAACAGTCTACATGAAACTGGGGCATACAATGTAAAATATGAATGATGATTGTATAAGTAGATGATTGATTGTGAGAATAACAATCATGAAAGGTTAGGCATGTTTCCAAAATGAGTCGGTTACCGTCGTTTAGGCGACGAGAAAGAGGAAATAGATACTTTGTAGCAAGTACATTACCTTCCTTTCTCGTAGACATGTTTTGTGTTTATATCACTGGGAGGGAAAGGTACACAAGTATAGGGCTGGCTATGAAGTGGATTGGATAAATTTTACGGAGTAGACAGAGATTACAAGAGGAGAAAACTAAATACACCGAGAGGTAGATTTTAAAATTGAAATGTAGTGGATAAAGCTGTGTATGATGGGATGAAGGATACTCAAGGGCATATGATATGAATAATCATCCTCGGACTACATAAAGTTCCATTTGCGAGCTTTTGAGCTTACAACAGATGTTTGTTAAGTCTGGTCTGCTAGACCAGAATGTCAAAAGGAAGGAGCAAACACGAATGTGGGGTATTTCTCTAGAACACAATTTCCAACACCTTCACTGGTCATTGAATTTATTTACCTACTTGATGAGCATCAACATGCGACCCTCATCATGTACGAAAAATCATGTCATATTCAGAAACACTAAACACTAAACATCGACCAAAGGTATGATCGCTCTCACAATACAAACACAGTACAACAATCACCACTCGGTGTCCCGTTGCGGTGACCGGCCCCGCCTATAAAGTGCCGACAACTTCGACACATCCTACAAGGCAGAGTACAGAATGAGTAAAAGCTTGCGAAAGTCATCATACTAGAAGCCTTGATGGCGAAAAGGGAGTTCATTCGCTTTGATGAATTGATGGATGGATATACCCTTCTTGCCACGCTCCATCGAAATCCTTCTCGCACCTGTACATCCCCTCCCCTTTTCCAACTAAAAAAGGAAACAACAAAACAAAACAAATCTATGCGATAATTGCCACCCAGTAACATCGAATAGTATCAATCTCTCCTGTCTTCACGGATCCTTTTCTTCTCGAAGTTTCAATTCTTTCTTTTTCGTAACCCCCCAAAAAAACACTACAATCTCACTCCCCTACCTCTCTTCCCTGTTCGGATTTGCATCACACCAATGCATCAACATAAGAAAGACCTTGCAATATTCTGTTGATCTATGGATTGAACAGGCCATAAAAACAAAAACGACCGGCAATGCGACCAGATTTCCTAGATTCAAGCCATAAGATTGAATTCTGCAGGGGAAAATTGCTTCTTACAATGAAAGGAAGGAATCGTTGATATGAATCTCATCAATGTGTTCAAGACTCAAACATCGAAACAATTCTGATCATTTCATGCTGGTAGGAGTGCTAGAAATGCTGGAGCCTAGAGTTGAAGACTGTTGAAGTTGCACGAAAGAGAGCCACAATACAGTATGTTGCCATTTATAGTTACAGATGACCTGCCGTTGCATATTCGATTTCGATTCGCGACTAAAGAAAGGAAAGCCTCAAGCCGCAACACACCACAAATTTCTGGCCATGTCCAGACTCCTACCACAACGATGTATACACACACAGATATCGCCAAGTTGGAATCTTTCAACCCACCATCACTCCCAGGAATTCTACTCTCTGTAACCCTAGTCATACGACTTTCGAGACAATTAACCTCCTTCCATGGTACAAAATTGCAACTCTATGGCGCTTTTAAAGTGTACCAAACTTCGCTGCCTTTTGAAAATTGGCCAATGGGTAACTATGAACTCTCTTGTTGGTGAGCAAGCATGCCACGTTTTCGAAGTAGATCCAACAACGGAATGGCGCCCCGGGCGTGAAATTATATACACCAAACACAATCAAGACGACTTTAGCGAATAATTTCCCGATTGAGAATTACAGAGGTATTTGGGTGGATATTGAGTATTTGATTAGAGACTTTTTGGATTAACCTAAGAGGCTAGGAAACTGCCCCGGCTCGTCTAGTTTTATTGCTAAAAGATGCTAAGATGATAATTAGTATATCCATGGGGTGCCGTTGAAAGTTGACCAAATCCAAGCCCAAGTCCCACGGACTCCGGAGTTATCAGTGGAGGAATTGAACCTGGAACATAAAAGTCTTGAACTGTGAGTGTCCGAAACCTCGACCATATATGTACTTTCAACCATTATGATATTGCTTAGGTACTGGTAGCAGACTTAATTGGACACGGAATCGGATTAATGATAGTTCCTGATTTACACTTGATCTCTAAGTCGGCGACTTGGCGGAACTTCCCAAGATTGAATGCAGCAAGATGCATCGGGGGTCACAAGAAAGAAGATGGTACTGCTGTATACTTTTCACGTGGCTCCTGCGGATAACAAATTAATTCACCCAGGAGGTTGTAGCTTTGAACCATGGGTTTGGTTTTTAAGAAACCTTCAATGCGAGACGGATAACGACATTGAAGGCCAATCTAATTCTGGATCTCCCCGCTCCGCTTCTAGCTGCAAATCAAACTGTCTATCAAATCTACTTTTCTGAGCCCGAGGAAGTGGGTAGCACAGATCATTAAACTGGGGTTATTTTGAAATCCCGCTTGGACTGAATGCTTGTAAAGTTATGAATAAATGGTAGTGCACAGGGGAGGCGATTTTACGAGGATGTTATTGGACACCATTACGACCAGAAGCCTGTTTGATTTGCAAGCAGAGCCTCATGATCACACTTGGATATCCAAAAATACCAACCCCTGAGGAATTTTGGGGTTATATGACACGATGTATAGCAAGGAACATGTAGCTTAAAGATCTTCAAATCTGACAAGGTTGAAAAGCCCAACCGGGGCAGAACCCACGCGAGGTAATCACTTTAACAGTTCACTTGGTAACAAGACGGCCTAAAAGAGTATCTGAGTGCACGTTGATATCTTGGAGGAACGAGATCCCAACCGAACTACTTTGTTCTGGACCCAACTCATGGAAACAAGGACGCGGCACTGTGTGCGGAAGCCAATTTTGAAGCTTAAGCATCTGCCTGCAGTAGGGTTACTGTCTAGTCAACTAGTCTTATCACTTCCAATTTATCCTATTGGACAGGGATATCCGTGTACGAACCAGGACATTTTCACATTGGTGCTACCGCACCTCCTTTACGCTTGGCAATCTCTTCACAAAAGCAAATTGTTGTCGTAAGTTTAGATCAATATACATACTATTTGGGCGTGGTACATAAACCCCTCATTCGAAAGGTTTATTGATCAGGACAATCTTGCGGGAGATTTGGAACTTAGCAAATAGATGTGGCTGGAATCCGTCCCCCGCTGTCGAACTCGAAAGCCTTTCGATACTTTTCGGTATCGTAAAGTTTCGGACGAACCCTTGGATGGTCCGCACTTCTCTTTTGTCTCATCTCACCCAAACAAACACCCACATGATTTGGACCATTTTTCCAAGCAGTCATTATCGCGATGGAAATATTCCGCTTGCACAAAGCTGCTGCTCGTGCTCGCTGGCAGCATAATTCAATATTGTTTGCATAATATAATTAATATCCATAGGATACACCGCTCGAGAACATATCGATTTTCACTATACCATTTATCCCGAGGTCCATCCATCTCCAATGATCGAGATCTTTTGGGAGGCAAAACATGTCATCGTCGTTGCAGTGATAGACACAATGGATGGACAACTAAGGTAAACGACGACAAAGTGGGCGACGCCAACCATCATATGGAAGCTGAAGAACTCTTTTTGATTGAAACGTTGCTCCTCAATGGCAGCTCACTGCAGATTGAAGTTACATTCACAAGTTCAATTGCGTAGAACCGTTGGTTATAATTTTTCTGATCAACCACACCCATATCGGTGGTAATTTCTGCACTGTTTCTGCACTGAAATCTGCACCGACTATCGCTTCCAAAATGTCAAGCGTCACTGTGACGACAGTAGGAGCGCGATTGGCTACAGTACGAAACCTCTAGCTAGTGGTGGAGAAAGCGAAAGTACCAATGGCGGTGATGACCGAAAGCATGCAGGACGATCAATTGGTCAATTACTCAGCCCTATACCAAAGATGCAGTTTTCAGGGCTAAAAGTTAGGTAGAGGCATTATGAATTATGAAATTATGGCTAGCTACAATGCACCAGGCTGTGAGGCTATGCAACAAGAATATATTAGGAATTTTTTTGGTCGATTTCTAACTTGCATGTTTTCTTTTTGCTGACGAGATTAGTTCTTGTTGGAAGTGGATACTTTCTGCATACGTATATTTTAGGTCTGAGTAAGGCATCATAAAATGCCACACCATGGAACTTCTGCGTTCTCAAGTGCCGGAGGAACGATTTGGAGCCGGGAAGTAACATCAACCACCTCCGGATCACGCTTGTCTTTGATTGCATTACTGTGTGCAGTAATATTTTACTAAATAAGCCATCGCATATCTTCACGATGTAGCTATTATTAACATTTGAAATTTACACGCCTTTATCGTGCTAACATGTGCCATATGGCGATAATTCGCAAGATATTCCTGATAATAGCAACTTCAACGGGTCTGTGTTTGAGGACTAAATTTATCAACCAATTCCGTTATTAGGATCCGACTATAATTTCGTAAGTTAAGTGCCAAGACGGCGAGGATTACAATTATCAAGAGATATAGCCAATCATGAGCGATAAAAGTCGAGGAAAAGGGGTTCATAGGGCTGACTTCCGAAGAGTTGCAGATAAAGTGAAACCAGGGGAATATGTTCTCCTTGGGAAATTGAAGCTTCTGGGGGTTCAAGATGAACTTTTTATCCGTGGGGAGAAAGTGTTCGGGTGACTTGAAGGGCTTCTAGAAGGATTCGATCCTTCGATGACGACGAGTATGCTTTCACGAAATTAAGGCTACACATATACACACAGAAGGGCATTATATTAAAGACAGGTCGACCAATATTATGTCCACACAGGTTGGTCAGATGGTTCAAAATCCTTCTGTGACACGACCCAAACAAAAAGATATTGTGGAGATCTCTCATGCATGATTTGAAATCAGGGGCGGACGTTGTGCGTTGTGTAGATAGAGGTGGTTTTGTTTCTTACGAGACGAGACGAGCAAGTAAAGTAAAGTAAAGAAAACAAAACAAAACAAAAGAAAAGAAAAGAAACTTTAAGGGATTCTGCCTCGTGAGATGGGTCCTGCCGTTCCCGTTCGCTTCCGTCATGTATGTACTGGTTGGAACTTGGGTACGTACCTAGTACTGTACGGACGAACTTTTGGTCTGTTGACTGTCTGTTGGACAGGACCATGTGGCTCGTGCCTACCTACCTAGGTATCTATCTATCTACAATGACCCGGTATGACAATACAATAATAATGATGCTATCTATGATGGACGAAACAAACGATCGCTTTACGAAAGCCGCCCTGATAATGAATGAGCAATAGCATTCGTCATAATGCAGAGCATATCTTATAGACTCACTCATACACGTTTCCAAAAAAAATAAAAAATGCACGGCTTCTATTTAGGTAGGTAGGTAGGTAGATTCATTACCACAAGGAGAAATCATGACGAAGTGAAGCAAGCTTAATAAGAGATGGCTGTGCTTTCTACACCGAGAGAGGCTGTGCAATTTTTTGCAATGGAAAAAAGCAACACTTTGGGTACCCACGTAGGGTATTTTTCGGTGGGGAATTTTAGGGCACATGAGATGAGAATTGATGGTGGTGTATCACTGGTGTGGCCGAGTATGGGTGCAGTAGCCACTCCTAGGTGTGAGTTCTGCGGTAATCCTTTCGTACTCGGGCCAATCATTTGTTGTGGGCCCCTGATTAACTAACAACCTAGCCACAGTGCATTTTGTACTCATCTAGAGAGTAGAGAGCACCGGGGAGAGAGAGGCCTTGTTACTTTTTGTCCTGACAACAGTTGGAAGCATTTGCGGATAATACTAGGTAGATATACATTTGTAGTTGGTGGCGGTCCCGAATGTTTGTATTGGTATATAATTTCATGTACCTAGATGATAATTGATCCTCCTCGAGCAGGTATAACTCCTCAACCCCCTAACCCAGGTAGCTGTATTTACTTTGTGAATTCTCATCCTCGATTTCAACCGATGTAATTCCAGATCTATTTCCTGTCACCATGTGTTCATTTAATTGACGAATCGATCATTCTCGGTACTATCGCATCCAGGCAACAATAAAATGTACCTTTCGTCGATCATCCGAGAAATGCATGGTTAAATAGATTAAAGCATGTTTTGTACAGATATTGAGGTGTGTTTTATTGTTTCGTCGATGGGTAACGAACGATGTAACTCAAGATTTCAACTCCTTCAAAATGAAAGTGTTCTAAAACGAAATGTCTCTTTTGGGAACCAGTGCTAGGGAGCCTGCCAATGATTGAAGATCTAGCCAGAGATTCACAAGCATTGCACCCCACCCATTTCGCCTTATTTGTCTAAGAGTAGCGAAAGCAAGCGAATGAGACAAGGTTTAGTTAACTCTAATGGGATTTCCCCACCCGGATCGGGGAGAAAACTGGGAAGGGGATGAAAGATCTACATGAAGGGGGGTTGCTCGTCGCACATCACTTGGTATGAATCAATGATGAAGAGTGACGGGGGCAAACGAACATCATCTTGTTGCGACTTGTAGACCATGTTCGCTCGCAACATTGTCCGCTTTTATACTTTTATCCACACTTGACTTTGACACCATGATCTCAATTCTCGAGTCTTTTAATTGTTGCGTGGGAGTTACACGGCTGTAGAAGCCCATGTTTGGTTGTACGGACATCCCACATCGTAAATCATCCTAAGATGTTCCCCTGCCCCCCGTAGCCTTTTTCGATGGTAATCAATCTTTAGTCTCGGGAGGGACCAGCGACAGGGGAGCCATGATTCCTAGCACGTTTGTCTAGGGATTTCCCGGTTTCCATGATTTGGTTGGCGCTTCTACGATATCTCATCTCTTTCCTCTGGCCTAAGCACCCTTTCGTAATCTTACCCCAAATTAATCACTTGTGCAAATGAACAATTCTGTCCTTGTATATTAGGGTGCGTGATATGATGTGTGTGTGCGTGTGCGTGTGTGTGTGTGTTCACAAATGGTTTGGCAATAGATAGTGGGAAGTGGAGCGAGCCTTGACCGACTAGACGGAGATGGGCGATGGTGGGACAGAGATTCCAGGCGGCCTCTAATAATGCACGCAGCGCCAGTTCTGCAAGTTACCCCTAAGGGTTACTGAGATCCTGTGTGCGAGGTGCGAGGTGCAAGGTTGTAAAGATGGGTATGCCCAGAAAAATAAAAAGTCAGCCATACATTTTGCCAGATGCATTCGGGTAAGGCTGTGTATGATTCTTTTTGGTGCCTGTTGTGTTGTATGGAATAGTGGTGTGCGAATGGATTTTGTGGATTTTCGCATGCATTGCTTGGTTTTTGGTGCACTAATCATTATGCATACGCTGCGGTGCAGTGCAATAGCGACCAGACCGAGGCCATGGAAAAGAAGCCACAATGTGCTGTGCTGTTTTTGATTTTGGGAAAGGCTTTGAGTCGACTGGGTAGGTCGGTAGTAGGTACAGACAGGTACGTGAATGAACGAACTGGTCTGTTCTGTCAATCTGTCACTCGGGTGGTCTGTGATGATTTTCGTCTAAAGGAAGGAAACATTTTAGACTTTTAGCTAGTCCCATCAATCGGGGACTAATTTCATCAAGATTTACTGCTACTCTGGATATGGGAATTTCCAGCGGCTTTTTCTCTTATTCTGGCCTTTAGACTTGTTGCCATTGTACTTGTACCTTACCAGTGGTATCTATCGTACGTACTGTACCTACTTTAGATACTTTCGGATATGTATCTAGGCGTCGACAGGTCTCTGCTAACAATTGATTAGGTATAGCTACTTTGCGTAGGGCCTCTCTGGGGTATTGTAGTCAAATCGGGACTTGCCATAATTATTGGACAATAATAGTTTAGGGCCAAAAGAAGGGAAAGACATTTGTACCAAGAAAAAATCCCTGGAAATGATTTGCTCAAAGCCCATGTCCCAATCTCAAGGTTCAAACACTATTACCCCCATGTCGGCTATCCATGTCCCCATGTCCATGCTTCATCGCCGGGCTTAGCATCTTGCATTTTTTTTTGGGTCGGCCATTTTTTGAAGCCCTCTTATCCTCTCTCGTCCAGAACTGCTAGTATTTTTGAGTTTTTGATCTCACTAGACAAGTCCCATTACATCTCCATACCACCAATATTACAATATAATATTAATCCTCAAGCTGCCCCCAACTTCCTGGAAAAGGAACATGTTCATGCTCATCCTTCATCATACACATCACACTCTCTCCACCCCATATCTACTCCATATCATACCACTAGGATTCAAAAATACCTAATCAGACTTTACCAAACTACTACAAACACTGATATATGTCCCGTTCTCCTGCTTGGCAATAAACACATCAACCTTGGAAAAAGCATCGATCATCCTCCCCGAACTACTGCATCATACCTAATCTTACACCTTCTACCTAAACTAAACCTTGCATTACTTTTTGTCTCTCGTCAACCATATCTCACTCATCATACCTTATATATATATATATTCTCCGCGCCTCGCCCTCTTACGTCGGCTTCTTTCATCGGCTTCCTGTCTCAGATCATACCTCTAAACCCAAAACACTACCTTGGTTCAACTATTCCCAAGTATCTGCAACAGCTTGCACAACATCTTCACAAAGCATATATACATTACCGATCTTCTCCAGCGCACAACTTCATAAGAAACTATACTCAACTACACTCTCGTACTGGGCCTCCAAAGGAATCAAAGGTAGTTCGCATACAGCCTTGGGAAGATGGTCCGTGAAGCAGTTTACTGATTGACATATCTAGTCGGCGATAAGTGTGGCTATCACCCCAAGACAAAATAGCCAGACATCACCGTCTTCAAAACAAAACTAGCACAATAAAACATGGTCTCTGTATCCGATCACTCCTTCCATATGCTTTCGCGACACATGGGCAACCAAAACGAAAACGACTTTCCTCTGTTCCCCGAATCAAACATGTATTCCCCTCAATTCCCATACATGGCATGCCAAACTTCCACATTGAACACGACGCTTCGTATGCATACCCGAGAACACAAGATGTTTATCCTACCAGCACTGGATTCGACTCCACAACAATGTATAGCGAGGTTCCCCAAAATTTCATGGAGTCGCCGGAGCTTAGAGGCGCTGCGCCCTCAAATTACTCCACAGCGAGTGGACCTTCTGCGACATCCTCAACCATTGGTTCCCCAAATTCAAACAACGGGCATATGGTGTCAGTATCAGAGTGGGGATCTGGACTCGGCATTAATCCAAGTATCGTTAATTACGATAACTTTGGTCAAGGAACCGACTACAACTTCTCTGCAGGTATGGAAGACTTTACTGTAGATTTCAATTCGGCCAAACCAGGCTTTGTTGGTGAGTGTGAAAATGTCTTTAGATCTACACCTCGTCAAAATAGTTCTTTCTCTTCATCCCACTTGGGATCTTTTTCTTCTTCATCTCCTATTCATACTATTTATACTCCAACGGATTCTTCGCGATCAATTGCTTCGCCAATTACACCTGTTAGTGCGATTCGGGAGGATTCTAGGGAAGAGAGTTTGAAATCTTCTCATATTTCTGCGCTTTCATTCTCTCCTGTATCTTGTGGATCATCTTCAAGTTTTAATGCGCCTTTTTTGCAATCTCCAACCAGTGCTAGTTGTAGTCAGGGGACAAGATTATCTCCCGCTACTACTTCACTAGCGCAAACGTCTAGTTCGGAACCGACATTATCTTATTCTTCATACCAACAATCTCCTTTCTTTTCTCAATCTAGCGGCAATTTGGTTGCTCCTCTCCAATCTTCTTGTGTGTTTTCTCTTTGTCAATTCTGGCACTGGCTTTATCTTTCTTTCGCCAAGCACACTAAAAAGAGTTTCATGCTAACAGTTGGTTTCTAGACCCATCTATCCTACACGCTCCATTCTCTGCCACTCGCCCAACATCCGCTGTTGGACAAGCTGAATTATCTCCTTATCAAGCACCCATGTACCCTACATCTCCATCACCATCTCAACTCTCTTCAAGAAGTCCTGGACCTGCCAAGGCCGATAGCGCCAGCCCTTATCTAGGCTCTCAATATTATCCATATCCACCACCAATGGTTAGACGACCATCTTTGACGATTTCCCATCAATCATACGGTTCTCAAGACGGTAACTTCAGTGGTGAAGATTCAAAAGAAAAGGGCCGTTGCACTTGGCCAGAGTGTGGGAAGGTCTTCAAAGATCTTAAAGCCCACATGTTAACACATCAAAATGAGCGCCCGGAAAAATGTCCCATACAGACATGTGATTACCACGTTAAAGGTTTCGCTCGCAAATACGATAAAAATCGTCACACCTTGACCCATTACAAAGGGACAATGGTATGTGGTTTCTGCCCAGGTTCTGGATCTGCAGCAGAAAAATCCTTTAATCGCGCTGATGTCTTCAAGAGACATCTTACTTCAGTACATGCTGTGGAGCAAACTCCACCAAATAGCCGCAAGAAGACTTCCGGAAACATCAACAGTGGAAAGAAACTCTCTGGATATGCACCAGATGCTACCGGAAAGTGTTCTACCTGTTCCGCTACCTTTAGCAATGCTCAAGACTTCTATGAGCATCTTGATGACTGTGTTCTTCGCATTGTTCAACAAGAGGAACCATCCGAGGCGATAAATGCTCGTCGCCTTGCAGAGGTCGAACAAGATCACGATGTTCACGAAACCCTCCGCAACAACGCCCTCCCAGTCACCACCAACATTTACCCAACAGCCGAGGACGAGGACGATGAAGAAGTCGACGATGAAAACGATGATGATTACACCATTCGCACTCGTACATCAAGGAAAGGTCGCCAAAACCGCAATCCTGTCAACGGTGTCCAAAAGTCTAGAGGAATGACACACTCCAAAGGTGGAGTCACTCTAAATACCAAGGGCCGCAAGAAGCGCAAGGACTATCCTTCATCGTGGGGATGTCCTACATCTCAAATGAAGATGAAGAAGCGCGTTCTTACCGTCTTTGATGGACCCCGTCGTCTCTGGAAAGATGACATGATGCTTGATACCGACTATGAGGTTCGCATCAAGCTTGGCGATGAAAAAGCCTACGTTACCGATCTGGATGTGCAAACTTTGAGGAGAGCAGAGGCTTTTCACAATGCTACGGATGAGGAGAAGGGTCCCTGGATCGCGGATGATTTGACGGGCATGGATTTGGAGAAGTTGATGGAGGTTAAGAGGGAGATGTAAATTTCTTCTCTCCTCTTTGCGTGTTGACCTTCCGCGCTCAACTTTTTGTTATGAGGTTATGAGAAGGATATTTTACTTATTGTTATGATTTTGCTCGTATGCATTGGAGCATTTTGCATATGCTTTATATCGGCGCTTTGGATACCATTTACATATATATCTTGCAGGGAGATATACTATTTACTACTTTTAACGGGACAGGATGGGACGATACCAATTTTTTTTTCAATTTTTTTTTCATTATTTTTCAATTTTTCAAAACTCTTCTACAATATCATACATATCAAATGTATTGGGAATATGGACGGTGTAGTGGGAATAAGATAAAAGTCGCCAATGTGCTCTTTTCTTTCTCTTTTCTACCTACAGTATCTACTCGCATTATCTATTGCATATGCATCAAACAGAGTTGTGTCATGGGAGTTTTTTTTACTTTTTTATCAGCTGGGATTCCTAGGGGGATGAATGGAAATGGAAGTATGAGATCGCTATTTTGGCTGGCCCATTTTTGGTGATGTATTTTGAAGGGGGAGGGGAAGATTACTTTGGAGGGCGTGGATGACTAGGTAGCAGGGCATCGTCACTGCGTTACTTTATTACTGTATGTAAAATGATTGGAAGTAAAGTAATTGTTAGTCTAGTCTAGTCTAGGATACCTAGGGATCTAGGAATGAATGGATAAAGAGCATTGGTCTCTCTCAACTCAAAATTTCATACTTACTTACTGCATTATCTCAGATGTGTGTCTTGGGCCTTTTTTCTTTTTTATTATATTATTTTTGTTATTTTTATTATTTTTGCGTGAAAATGTGTCAGCTGTATGTATGTATGTATGGTTCGCAACCCTCCACTTGGCTGAACAGATTTATAATCCGATTGCTGCTCCTGTACGCCATGTCGATCATGATCGACATTGATGTGTGATGTGATGGATGTGATGGATGTGATGAGTAGATTGAGAAATTGACGTAAAAGCCTCCTTCCCTGCACGTACGAATTATGAGTAAGCTTTTCTTGATCACACTTCATTTATCCTATGTATCTTTCTTTCTATTTATTTATCTAGGCTAGCTAGATAGATAGTTAGCTGGGCAGGTAGCTAGGTAGGATTCCAGGGATTGCAAGCGAGATCTCTTCCCCCTCGCTCACATCCATGGTGATGAGGCGATCTAGGGCGAGCGCGGATTCGGGTCGTGCTGTATGGAGTATGCATGTCGTGTGTGTGTGTGTGTGCTTTATGTATGTATGTTTTTGTGCGGATTTCATGCGGCTTTTCATGCAGATTATATGTGGATAGAATGGATTGGGGGATGGATGGGCGTTTTCGTGGGTATGCTGGATTAACGATGGCGATCGGGGGTTTTCAGTTATTAGTGTCTGTTGGTTGGAGATGCTGAGAATGGAGTTCTTGGTTAGAGGGGTGATGGGAGCTGCGTAGTAGGAAGATGGATTTATTGGTTCGTTGTGGTGATGTGATGTGATGTTGTGTATACTTTATTAGGTGGTATTGGGTAGAGAGAGAGAAGCGGGGAGGATGGTGATGGTGATGTGAGGGTAAGGCATAAGATCCTAGGTAGGTAGGGTTGAGTGTGGATGTTTGGGTATGTTGTTTTGTGATGTGATATGATACGGTATGGTGTGCATAGACGAGAGTTGTGGAGTATAGTATAATGACTTTTCTTTGTCCTGGCTGGTCGATAGATCCTGTATAGATGAACGGGCATAAGAAATAATAGTGTTGAGATGTGAAATACGTACTAGATCGAAGCTAAGGATGGTATAAGCCATGCAGCTATCGATTGCTCTAAAATATCCAAGATTTGAGGGTCTAGCATGCAGTGTTCTTAATCTGATGTGATAAGAAAGACCGCTACTTTAGAACTGGTATTAAATGATAATAGTATGAACTTATGTATCTGGATGAGATAGTATGGAGGGGAATAGAATATGATAACCTCAGGAGTTGCAGCTAGTAGCGGGGTAGATGTGATGAATATCTCCATATATTCTCAAAGTCCATGCGTATTGCTGTATTCCCATATATCCATGATATAGTCGGAATAATTCGATTCACCTTCTTCATTTAAAGATAGGTATTAAGATAATAATCCATATACAGATATACAAATACTTGCTAGGTAGTCATGGCTCATCATCGTTCACCACTCATTTGCCCGTTAATCTGCCGAGATAAAGAAAGCACGAGCCACACTTTCTAACAGTTTCTAACGCCACAGCTCTTATCCACAACCGCAGAACGTGGCCAGTTCTATTCATCATCAGATAATCAATATAACAACTCCTGGTAGAACATCCCGATTTCCTTTACTAGAAAATGCTAGGTATGATAATGGGTACTTAATTCACATACAAAATTATTGGTAAAGAGGATACGGTCACTTTTGAACTCATTTCAGTATCACCTTTCCGACTGAGCATTGAGCACGCCACATATACACACATCTTGAAGCTTGGAGCTAGAGCTCCCATATCTCAACTCCACTGGTTCGCAGGTTGATTGTTGAGCTGAGGCACAATGGGTTCAAGACTTGCTTGGTATGCTGGTATCTCCACTGCTTTGGCGGGTGGAGTGATTCTTTCCGCTTTTCATCAGCGCGCAAACTTCTATTCAGCATGTGTTTACCTAGCGCAAAGTAATTTGTGTCTTATGGTGTGTAGATTCTGAGCTTCAAACTCTTGATTCGATGGGCATTACTGACTTTCTATAGATTCTGATCAATTTGGTATGCTTTAATCTAAATTTCCTATCGTCACTTTCTGCGACATCACCCCGCCGAAGCTTCCGTTTGCTGACACATCTTAGATCCTATTTGTCTTTTCTAGTTTCATGTACGGACTTCAACGACTCTGCTACGGCCCTCTTCGTCCCATCGAAATCGAACAATTATACGAGAAAGCTTGGTTCGCCATCACAGAAACATGTCTCGCCATGACCATATTCAGGGAGGAAGTTGGGGCTTGGTTCCTTGTAATGTTTGTCGCTCTTCTTACCGGCAAAGTCTGGGGATGGATAGGTGATGGACGAGTTGAGATCTTAGAACAGCAACCACCTGCCAATCCGAAACTCTTTCATATTCGATTATCCATATCTTTGGCGATTTCGGTCTTGTATGATGCATGGTTGATGAGTTATACAATTAATACGGTGATTCAACAGGCGAGGCCGAATATGATGGTCATGTTCCTATTTGAGTTTGCGGTTTTAACTGTCTCAAGTTCTTCCACGGCTTGTAGATATATCATCTCGGTGATGGAATCGAGGGTAGTTAAGAAGCAGACACAGGAGAGACTAATTGAGAGAAAGAGAGAGGTTAGGGAAGAGAGGGCAGAAATCATCAGGCAGAGAGAGATCGCGCGCGCGGCAGCTGGTGAGAATTATCAAGAACCTACTACACCTTTACCCTCCGAGGACGATATTGAAGAAATGGACATTGAAGTTCCGGGATGGGAAGCAAAGGGTCAATGGGTTTTGACCCTTGATTTGATAACCGGTGAGCTCATAAACGTATTTTACTTTTTTGCTTTTGCTAATTTTGAAATAGACTTCATGAAGTTATCCATCTACTCATCATTCTTCTTCATCCTTTTCACATTCTACGGTCTACCTATACATATTATGCGAGATCTATTTGTTACGGCAAGATCATTCATCAAACGGCTTACCGCATTCTTAAGATACCGCAGAGCAACTCACGATATGAATTCAAGATACGAGGATGCAACAGTTGAGGATATTCAGAGGGAAGATACATGCATTATATGTCGAGAAGAGATGCGACCTTGGTCTGTAACAAATCCACCGGTACCTGCTGGAGCACAACCCAGACCAGGTAGTGTCAATGAACGTACAAGACCCAAGAAGTTACCTTGTGGGCATATTCTTCATCTAGGATGTTTGAAGAGTTGGCTTGAAAGGCAACAAGTATGCCCAACATGTCGAAGTCCTGTTGTAGAAACTCCTCAAGATGCACAAGCCAATGCCAATCGAAATGCAAGAGCTAATCAGCCTGCTCCGGGTCAACAAGATGGACCTGCAGGTGCACAACCACCAGCAGCTCCTGGTCGTGGCCGTGGAATGCGTATGCTTAATCTTGGACCAATCAGAGTAGGTTTTGGACAAGCGAATCTTAATGATTTTGCTGGCCTTCAAAATCCTCCAGGAGGTCAAGCAAACGGCGCAGGTGCAGGACCTAGAGTTTATGGCTTGGAATTGGGTATCCCCCGTAGAGCTCAGCCTCAAGCCCAACAACCTCCTGTGAACACTGGAGAGCACATCGCAGTACCACCTGACCAACTACAACAACATTTAGAAGAACTCGAACAACAAGTCGCCCAGGAAATTCGAAACTTGCAGTTGGCTCATCAGCAGCTGTTGGTTGTCCAATTGTTACAAGGCGAATTAGCAAGACTGAGAAATTTACAAAATAACGTCTTGGATCCTTTGGCCCCACACTTCCCCTTGCCGCAATTACCCCAGATTCCCAACTTTCAGAATCCGCCACAAATCCCCCCTTCATTCAGTAGCCGAACAACAAATCTGCCACAAATTTACAGACATGGTGTACGGCCCAATACCTCAGCAATACCGTCAGGTAGTGCTGACCTTCCACCTGGAGTTGTCATACCAGAAGGCTGGTCACTTCTCCCGTTGGAAAGACTACACAATGCCCATTCACCTGGCCAAGCAGGAACATCAGAGACATGGACAGGACCTGCAGCAACATCAACATCCGATGACCAGACCATCGCCTCCACATCTACACAAAATGTAGTCAGCCCTATAAATGTGGAAGGTGAAACTTCTAACAATAGCGCCACACCAATTAATACTGAACATGCTCACTCGCAAGCTGATTCGGTTGATTCTTCTGAAACAGACGCCAATGATACTCCACCGTCTATTTCGGCTGACCAATCGACGTCTACAACTACTGCATCTACAAATCCAAATCCATTTGTTAATCCTCCTAACTTACCTAATTGGGGTAATTCACAACTATTTTCGGGATCAACATTGGCAGGTAATCAAAACCTTGATGGAGCTCGTTCACTGTCAACCTCAGCTCCACATCAAGGAAGAGAAAATTTAAATCCTCATGTTTCTCTTGATGAGATGGCAGGTACTGGTGAATCAACTAGTAGTTCAGCGGAACCGAATGAGCCAAGATTAGACGAAGATGGTGAGATGAGGAGACGGGAGAAAGGAAAAGCCAAGGCGGCAACAGTGGAGGATACAGTAGATGGGGAGGAATAAGGGGAAATTCATGCTTTGAGATGAAATGTGGATTGAATATTCTTGGTTTCCTTCTAATATTCACGTGTTAATTGTTTAACGTGCATGATGCATGATGCATAAAGCCAGAGATGGAGTAAGATGGAGATGCATTATTGGCGTTCTTGGTGAGGGATTCTCATGGGATCGAGAAATGGATTGGCGTATTTTTCTACGTAGTAGGTAGGGGTTATGGATAGGTTTAAACATAAAAGTAGCAACATAAGCATAACTTTCACAGGTGCGCTGCGGCATTACTTTGTCTTAATTTTACATACATCACCTCTCATAAGGTTATCTTTGTATTTGGTGGCTTGGCTATGCTGTGTTGTGGCAGGGCGAGGAGATGCAATGCGATAGGATGGATGGATGGGGAGTATGAGATTACTTACTTAGGTATCTCTTTTGGAGTGTTGTTTGGTGCTGGTAGGAAGGTAGGGAGATAGCTGGATAGCTGGATGGGTAGTGGAGGTATTTATAGTATTTATGGTATTTTTGAAAAATGTTGAAGAAAGAAATAGGAAATAGGAAATAGGAAATAGAGAAGTTGTAATATAGAGTTGTAGAGATAGATAGGTAGATGAATTGATAATGATTTTTAAATAGTTAGTGAGTTGGTGAGTTATTGGGGTTGAGTTGTATGGAGTCGAATACTTTATTCGAGTATAAGGTTAGGAATAGTATTTTCTTATCTGATCGGTCTAGATGTTTATTGGGATATTGGGATATATTGGGATGTTAATTGGTTATATATCGATACTGGATAGTAGATATTTTATTTGCGGGGAGAGGGAGAGGGGAAGGAGGAAGGGTATGGATTGCTGGAGTTTCTTTAATGCCACGACTTTTGACTTTGGATGTCGATTTGAGTGTCGGTGTGGTAGTATCGGTGAAGAAGTGAGAAAGATGTGAACAGGTTGTTGTAGATTGTTGTAGATATGGATGTATTGGATAGGGATAGTTTGAGAGTAGGTACCGGTACTTTGTTTGTGGATGAGGTGTATGTGAGATGCAGATGTGTGGATTTGGATTTGGATGTATGGAATCCTTGTAAATGGCTTGCTTTGCTTGGGTTTGAAACAATGTTTATGTATGGAAGGGAAGGGAGGCGAGGGAGGGATAGGGATAGTATGTTAGATGTTGATGTTGACGTTGGATGTTAAGGATAATATTGCTATATTTGGGGGCGATATTTAGAAATCGTGAGGTCATTGATTTACATTGATTTAGGATTGGTTTGGTTTGGTTTGTGGTGTGGATGTGTTTATAGATTATGGATGGATGGATTTAGATTCCCGGGCAGATTTAGATTGAGAGGCAGGGAGGTAAGGGGACATGGTGGTTGGCTTCTTGGTCTGGTGGATGGATGTTAGAAGGGTTGAGTTAGGGATGAGGTGAGATTTAGATTCTTGGAATTCTTGGGCTCTGGGATCTTGGAATCTTTGGATACGATTTGAGACGGGATAAGATAGATCTGCAAGCGAGACAGACACGGGATGTGATTGCGAGATGTGATTGTTTACTATATGGGGTATAAGAGTTGAATTCGGAGTCAATTATAGATTAGAATTTTATGTAATTGGGTTGGACAAGGGGATTAGGTATAAGATATTTGTATCTATAAGGCTTTTCTTTTCTTTACGAGGACTTCCTGTGGCTCTTTCATGCCTAGAAAGTCACTCACCAATAAATTCAATTTTAAATTTAAATCTCCAAACTTATATTTAAGTCCTTTGACTTAATTTTACAATGCGGGTTCATGGCATATACATCCGGTATACGAGTTGTCTATGATTACCTACTACTACTAGGCAGCTAGCTACCTAGCTCGACGTAAGACCAACTACCCACCAACTTTTTCTCAAAGTTGAAGAACGTTCTACGTATAGATCCGGGGTACGAAAATATACCTAGGATGTATATGATTCATTACTTTTTAATTTACCATTTACCATAGTATCAGGTTTTCTGATCATACTCTATGGTTACTTACTAACTTACTTGCGGACTCCGGGGATGATGCGGTTTGTTTATTTCTGTTTGCTTATTGATAAGATAGAGAAGGGGGAGGAAAGGCTTGGGTTTATTTAGATAAGGGATATATATATAACGTGGTTTATCAGTATGTGCACCATATCAGCATATGCACCACTTTGTTACGAGGTTTGCCGTCTAGATCACGTGGAAGTGCTCCAGGCTCTCGAGGTGGTTTATAACTAGGCGTCAAGCAGGGACTTAAGTAATGACAATAATGATATGCAATTCGTAACTAATAGTAGAGTATACTAAATGATTGATCTTGAGCACGAAGCTCTATACAAAGGAAATCCATCTTGATTATATAGACCTTCGTGTTCTAGCTGATCAGTAGGATCAGTATGGCTCAGTACTGAGCTTGCTGATCCTCACTGAGTCAGTCACATGATATTGGTAACACGTGAGCGTCTTCTTGTTACCCGGCGTAACACACTTTTACCTCAATTATTATCTTTCAATTAAAATAAAATTACAACAACATTATAAAATAGAATTAAATCATATACAATTTAAAAATCAATTAATGCTGGATCTAATTGATAAGTTTGTATATTATATGAAGTACTATTTGTGACGCCTCACACCTCCGGGTCACGTGGCATGCCCCGTTTGTATTTAATCATAGGAAAACTCTCTACTCTTGTTTTCCTTCTTCTTTTCTCCTTAGCTTAGTATTTTCTAATACAAGATACTTTACCCAGTATTCTTGAGTGTGACACTATTGTATTTGCTACATCGTTGTATAATAATTTATCTTTTTGTTGAAGAATTATTATTTGTATATTCGTTGTAGTATATCTGATCATTTATATTCTCTTACTTTAATATATTATATTTATTCTTTATTGAAAGTATTTTTATTTTTTGTATTAAAGTTTTTTTAACTCTTTAATATTTACTAAGTATTTCATTTATTTTATAGAGATTATGAATCTTAATAATTAAAAGTATATTTGTATAAATTAAGAGCTTTGTATCCTTAGTTAAAATTGCAACTATTTTAAATATTGTGTTACGATAGTAACAATTGACTAATTAGGAGAGCTTGGGCCTTGTGCAAAAGCGATCAGATTTCATCGAATTAATATGTGATCTGGGCCACCTTAAGATCGTATGTGCACGCACTGTCAGAAAGCACGTGACTTGGAGCTTTTGGAGCTTGAGGATCCAAAAGGATCCAATGGAGCCTTTGGAGCTTAGGATCCAAAAGGATCCAAGGGAGCATGAATATCTATATAACCAAGATGGATTCCCTTTGTATAGAGCTTCGTGCTCAAGATCAATCATTTAGTATACTCTACTATTAGTTACGAATTGCATATCATTATTGTCATTACTTTAAGTCCCTGCTTGACGCCTAGTTATAAACCTACTTCGAGAGCCTAGAGCACTTCCACGTGATCTAGACGGCTACCCTCGTAACACTAATCTTCTTTATACTTTATATTTTAAATATATAATTTATTATATTTTCTATATTATTTATTCGAGAACTAAATCCTTTTTTATCTATATTAATTATATATTGAAAAAGCGATTTCTTCTTTAATTCTGTCATTTTATAATATATTAATCGAGATCTAGTTTTCAGTATTCGATCAGCTATTTTGTAGATAAGGGTAATATGCGGTATATTATAGATTTTAGCAGCTCTTCGTACACTTAGTTTTTTGGATGAAGCAATAGCTTGAATGGCTAGATTAATTTGCGACTCTTGCATATTGATTTGAAAGGTTGAATATGGATTTATCGCGTGTTAAAGTTGAGAGGTGGTAATTGAGGTAAAAGTGTTCCGGTTACTGATAAACCACGTTATAATAACAAGAAACGACAAACTAACGGCCCCCAAAATATACTCTAGCCACACACACAAAGACACCAACAATCACATCGTACCTACTTCATAGTAGCAAATTAGGCGCAGAAGTGAATGCCGCGTTGGTTTAGTTGGACTTGAGCTTGTGGTGACTCAATCCATTTTGTTTCGTGTAAATATAGGTTATGTATAGGCCTTCCAAAAAAGCATGCTCGCCAATCAAGTAGAGAAATGTCATTGTGATTGTGGTGAGCCTGAGTATACACATCAGGGGGTTTTAACGTATCTAGTATATGTACCTGAATATAATTTCAAGTGTGAGTATAAGGTTTCGAGGTGTATAGCTTTTATGTGGGTTAAGGATGTTACCGTTCAGGGAGGAAATCGGAGGTTGGAGTCGGTTGAAGTTGGATGATGTTCTGACTTCATATATATATATGTCAATTTTTATCAAGGATGTGTTTAAGGAGCAGTGAGTTGGATATACAGTTTACTGTTGAATTTTCTTCGAATTTAAAATTGGGGTGGATTTTAATTTTGGTTTTTTTAATATTTGTGAAGTGTGCTAAGTTAACGTTCCTGAGTCTCCCAACATGGATGTGTACACAGACGGTTCTAATTTTTATTACAATTCTTCTATTATACTGTTTCTTTAGCTGCAGATTATATACGTATGTTATTGACAGTAAAAGTTACAACTTTTAAAATGTACCATCTCTGAGCCAATCCTATCAGCATTTCCACTACGAGTACTGCTCTAGCAGTTCTGAGCAAATACGTAGCACCTTAACACCTCCTGCACATCACCTGAGTATGGATTCAGTACGTTGCATACACTGTGTTGTTCATGACTTAAAGGGAAAGTTGCAGAGATTTGCAGGAGGATATATACAAGGTGGACATTGAAAAGATTACCCTGGCCCTGAACTAGCATATACATTAATCTTCAAATTTTGGTATTTTTCCTCACAGATAAATACAAAAATCCAAAGATATATCTAAGACATGTAATTAAAGAGTATAGAATACACCGAACAAAGAAAAAGGGAAGCTACCTAACGAATAAAATATCAAAAATATATATAAGAAAGCTCCAAGCAGTTTCATCTCCATCTCCGCATCATAAGAAAGTTGAGTATATGATTATATTATCAGAGGAATCCTATAATTACACATATCAAAACAAAAAAGAGGTACTTATCCCGTTTATAACCTGATATCTGGGAAACAATCCGTATACTCGATGTGATAGCTATCATCGAATTATTGGTATGAAGTCGACAATTTATAAATTACTTTCAACAATCTACAGAACACCTATTTGTGATTAAGGATTTTTTAGATATTAGTATATCAATACATTATTAATTAGAAAAAACATATACAATGAAACATTTCCTCAGTCGCCATTCCTCATCCTTCTTAACTGCTCATGTCAAGCTCCCATAATCATCAAACTCAAACCCTCATAAAACCTTATATTAATGAAATGAAAGAAACACACTAAAGCCTTATTTATACAAATAATCACAATCACAATCACAATCCAACCGCACCCCTCATCTCTCCATCCTGTCAGACCTCACAACCCCCTCTGTAAGATTATGACTCTGCCCACCAATTCTGGCACCACATTCCGGACATCTAGCCAATTGCATAGGCATTCCACATTCACCAATTGCAAACTACAATAAATATCAGTCTCTCATCTTCTTAACTTTCCTTCACACCCAAGATCAACTTACCGGATGTCCATTCTCACATTCATACCAATGACCACTATGAGTAGCGATTCCACCGCGACCTGAAACCATCGCTTTTTTAATAGCATCTAATTCCTCTTTCGTGACTTCCTCATACCATTCTCGACGTAAAAATTTGATTGATTCCTCGACTGCAGTCAGTAGCGAATCTGCATTTTGGAATCCTTGCGAACACAAGTTTCTTGCTTCCTCTAATAAGTCTTTAGCTTTCTGTATCTCGGAAGTTTTCTTGGTTGTTTGGGAAGAAATAGAACGTGTATATGAATCGTAAAGGCGAGCGATCTTCGCATAATAGAGGATTCCCTCAACAGCGAGTTTTGGAAGACTGTCTTCTTGACAAGATGATATGTAAGAAAGACAGGAGCGGAAAAATGCTATGGAGGGTTGGTCTGGGGCGCCGCCGGGTAATTTGATTGTTATTTTTGGGTTAGCCTGTAGTTTTTGAGATAAGGGGAATTTGTCGGTAAGTACGATATACCTGAGGATTGTGTTAGCTGTAAAATCCTTTCATGATCTAATATATTCAAGTACGTGTGAATATCGAAATTTGGAACACTTACTGAAGCTTTAATTGCACACCATGTGCCCCACGGGTTATACGGCGATCTCGAGGTGAGCTACGAGTATTTGAAAGAGACAAGCTGGTTATGGCATCTTCAATTGATCGTTGTCGGATGGCATTGACAGTTGCATCATGAAGTTTCGTCGCGGGTTGGTGCTTCTCCATTACTTTCTTACAGAATGCATCCACTCTTTTCCCAAGTTTTCTAGACTTATCTTGTCGCTCTTTGAGCTGTCTTTCAGCATTGCTCTGCGTTCTAGAAGTTATTCCGTTCACATTGTTCATGATCAGAAGAGACTGTCTAGTATCATCAAGTTCTTGCTCCAATTTATTGATCTCGGATTCCAACTCTCGAAGTTCTGTTTGGCCAGTGACGAGGAATCGTTTGGACATTTCATCAATCACAGCTCTGTTAATAACTCGATTGTACCGAGGTGTTGCGAATTGACGAAGGGGACATTTGCAATCCGGACATCGAGGGATAGAAGATGCTAGGGTGGCAGTTGCGTCTTTGATTGCTGTGTAGTTTCCAAGTATATCTTGCTCGTATACCTCTGACATCCCAACCATCCCATCGAGAGTCTCGGCTGTGAAAAAGTGCTTGCATCCGAGTGCGACAATTGGTGTTTCGTCAAGGTCAATGTCGCCATAAAGTTTCATTTCTAGTAAATCAACTCGAGCATCTTGTTTCGTGGAGCATATCTGACAGTAGTCTTCTGGACATGGCTCGCCACAAAGACCTGGACATTGGTGACCACAAGAAAGCTTTGACGAACAACGCTTATTACAAGGCAATTTATCGCAAGGTCCCGCACATCTATAAAATTATATGATTAGCATTTTTTGTGTAATTATCACTGACGAGAACTAGCCGCAAAGCTTCTCGAGCGAGGTTGAAGATACTTACGGCATGTTGCACCTCTCTTGATGCTCACAAGACCAGGTGCACCTTTCTATGCAAGGCGCGCAAGCTTGATGGCATTTCAGTGTGCATTTCGAGTGAGAACATTGAACCTATTTTCATATTAGAGCTTGGTCTTATTCCCAGATTCGCATAAAATACATACCTCACATGGCGCAGAGCAAAGACCACATTCTTTACCTTCATGACATGGTAGCTTACAGCTATGGTTGCAGGTGCTAAGGGGGCGATTGCATGTTTTGGTGCATGAAGGATGTTTCGTGACTTGTTTTCCTCCTTCCTGGTGAGTGCACTTACCGCATGTAGATGTACAGGCATGTGCACACGGTAATTTGGCTCCACAAATGGCTGGGCAATGAAACCCTGGCAAAGTAATGTCCTGAGAGCAGGGCACTTCAATAATGTGATCGCAGCCAGACATCTTCTTTTGCACCATGACCATACAACGAACTTTAGCAAGGTCCCCAGTCAAATAACACTCAACCCCATCCTTTATGTGCTTGCAAGGAAGTTGTATATTGTCAAATTTAACACGACATGGTCCGCAGTCTTCACCGCAAGTGGGCTTCTGACAAGAATGACCACATGGCTGGTGAAGGCGTTCGCAGCGCTGTGGGCACTTAAAGATAGCATGCATACTCTCAGAATGGCAACGAGCCAAGCATCGATGTCCACAATCAGATAGACGCCTATTACAGGCTCGAGAGCATCCCCCTTCTGGGCTCAATCTGAGGAAGTCATCTGGTTGAGAAGCTTGCAAGTCATCATCGGGATGTCGTGGACAACAGAGTCCAAATGACTGCCCAACAGATCCTGCCTCTCGCAGTATACCAATGACATCAGCCCACATTTGTACGCTTGAATAAGTCTGTGTATTACCAATCAGGTAAAGTCCATGCTGAGCTCGGCTGAGCAATACATTGATGCGGTTGGTTGTTTTGAGAAATCCGACTTTCTTATCCTTGTTACTTCTCACAAGGGAGACGATCACGACTTTAGCCTCTTCACCCTGAAAGTTGTCAACGGTTGCTATTCTGAAATGAAGTTAGCATTGCTATGTGTAAAAGTTATGTGTAGAGATTAGGACTTGCCGAAGTAATTCGCTCAACTTCTTCTTTTGAAGGGCTTTCCTGTCAGAAGTTTGGTCAAGTTTCTCTTCATGATCCGAGTCCGGAGCTATGAAGCCGTCTTTCACGAGCGTGTCCTGATCGCGATCAGATAGAACGATCTCAAAATCCTTGCGCATATGGTTACGTAGCTTTTGTAGTTGACCACTGTAGGGGGTTAAAACAGCAATATCGCTACTACTATATTCTCCTTGGCGAACAATATGCCTTACAAGTGCGGCGGTCATTTCGACTTCCCATTGATTGCTGTGAGACATGGTCTTATGCTCTTGATTTAGACCATCGTCCTGAAACTTCTCATGATCGAGCCAAAAAACCTATAGATATGTTTAGCTAACTCGATTGACGGGTGAGCAATAAATAGACAAAGGACTGAACAGTGCGATCCCGGAACACTGCCGCCACCGGTAAAAATTCAGGTAGAACTTACATTTTGGCGCATTCCAACAACATCAGGATAAACTTTAGTGCTGCCGTGATCGATAAGCTCGGGATATATGCGATTGATAAGTTTGGATATCTCGGGGCGCATTCGGCGCTGAATGTTTAATTGAGCAACGGGTAATCTGCTTCTACCATTTTGACCCACAGAGAGTCTCTCAAATTGGCTTCGATCAAGCTGATAAAGGGTTCCAGCTCTGCTTTCAAGAGATAGATCTTTGAAGTTGTTGATCTGAGGTCGGAGCTGTTCGTGGTCTCCAATCGATACTACATGTTCCACAGATGCTTTTGAGTATGTCAGTATTAAATCAGACCGATCATCAATATATAACATTGATGCTTAGACACACTTGTGATTGATATGGACAGAGAAAAAATGAGATGAGATGGCATACGTAAAAGTGTTGATAGTAGATGTGCTTCGAGAACTTCTCCAGCTTCTTCGCAGATTATGACCTTGGAATTAACATGTCGTAAAGTAGAAATTTTCCTAGCCAAGCCAGTAGTTGTGACACCAATTATCTGAGCAGTTTGCAAAACTCGTCGATCAACATCATCGTGGATGTTATGAATATTCTGACGCACAAGCTCGGAGCTTCTCACTGCTTCATGGAGATCATCCACAATGGTCTCGCGTATAGCATTTTTCCAATGATCTACCAAACGGAATCGGCTCGCAATACTGAGTGCATGAATATTGAGAGACGCTGTAGCCAATAGCTGATCGACGGTATATGTAGCCTGAGAATCTGTGGTTTGTTTTCCTTTCTTCTTCAACCACAAATCGAAGGGTTCGCCGCCAACCTAATATCAAAATTAGCATGGCCTCTGACCTGAGAGCCCCATGTAGTCAAACATGTCAAGCAATGAACAAGCAAAAGCCTGGCTATGTGCATAACAAAAAATCAGTACAACGAAGTGAAAAACAACTTACCTGCTCAAAACCTTCGTCATCAAAGCGACTGAACTGCCTATGAATATGAGGATAATGCCTAGCAATATATCCTTCCATCGATTTATAATCCGGCTGATCTTTGGTCTTCGACAACTTGGCTAACGATGAATTTATAAATTTTGCTTTGATCTCTAAACTTTCGTAGGCCTTTGCAAGCAGATAACGTTCGGACTTGGTTTGACTCTCGCCCTTGGAAACAACACGAAGATTTTTACCTTCGAGAATTGAGGATTTACTCTGACCTCCTATGCGGATAAGTTTCTCGATACCGGATTCCAGCAAGTGCTCCAAAAATTGATCTAAGGCATGATTTGTGTAGCATCTTTAGAGAAACATATGTTAGCATGAAGATGAAATCCAAGTTATGGAGATATGAGGCATGAGGCATGAAGAGATGAATGTTCAAAATAAAGAAGGGAAATAACAGTTTCGCCTGGACTGAATTGAGGAAAGGAACTGGGGAGGGGTATGCTACTAACACAATGATGATGGGTCCAGGTTGTTTCTTCATACAGTGTAATAAAACCTTGACCAGTTTCACACCCAGGAAAGATTTTCCTGTGCCTGGCGGACCTTGAATTTGGCAAAATTCGCGAACTAGTGCGGCTAGCAAAGCCTCACACTGTCCACGGTCGAGTTCGGTCAGCAGCTCAATCTTGTCGACGAGATTTGTATCATTTACAGAGCACGTCGAAGGGTCAATTCGTAGGTCTCCTGATGATTCATCCTTCAAAATAGGGCTAAGTGAAAATGCGAAGCCAGGTTTGCGAGCATACAGAGGCGGTGGGACATCAAGGATTGATCGGGAATTCCTAGTGCGATCTGGTAATATCCATTGGCGGAAAGGTAAGCGACCTAGCTTATGCATGTTTTGAAGGTTCTCAAGAATTGGAGAAACAGTTGCGAGAAGGACCCCGGGTATTTCGATAAGAACAGCCTCGGTCTTTTCCGTACTCAATCGTATTAAAGTATCCAAATCCTTTTGCCTCTGCGTGGCAAGCTTGGCAATAATTGTTGCTTGGTGATCATGAGAGACTAGATTATACTTGCTCTTGGGATCTGTCCGTTTTTCAGTGACAAAAAGAAATAGAGGGGTACACTTCGAGTGGCTGTAAGATAGCATGCACAACAAAATTCCTTCATCAAGTCTTTTGGACTCATCCCACCACTTGGATCTATCCTTTACAGATTTCTTTCTCAACCCTGCTGGCGGAGTAAAAGATATTTCGGCTTGCAAATCTCTTCTATCATCAAAGGTAATATATTGGACCCAAGCATTGTGGTAAAGATTGGCTCGCACGTTACCCAAATCGGGCTTGTGACGTCCCAAAATCGAAGGATCATCCTCAACCGCCACAATCAAACTTCCTAGAGCAGCCTTTAATTCACCAAATACATCGTGTCGGAGGAGACGGAAATGGGTATCTAGTAGTCTCGCAGCTTGGTCTGAAATGTAATGTGGCTGATCGGGGTCTGTCGAAGGAAGAAATTCAGGACTATCGCTACGAATCTCATCCTCAGTTGGCACTATCTCTATTTCAGTGATATCCAACTTATCATTGTCATGCCTATTCGACGGCATAATGATATCGCGTGGATAAGTTGACACCACCACGGACGTCGAAACGCCATTTATAGGTGTCTCCTCCCCTTCATCCAGTAGTCCCTTGGCTCGGGCGATCATTCCACGTATCTCTTGCATTCGAGTTCCTATAACAGTAGCAGTTACCGTTTTTTTATCAATGCCAATAACTTCGACACAGTTTTCAATCGAATTGACAGTGTCTACGACGCTGTCGTTGAATAATGCACGATGCTCTCGTCGAAGAAGCTCACGGAGGCAAGTGACCATCGCAACTAATACTCGCTCGATATTCTGCGTCGATGTACTGACAAAGAAGTCATGCGCCTCTAGTAAGTTTGAAAGTAAGGATTGGAAAAACTGTATTGCTCGAGACCCATTACTGCCACTGATGAGATTGTATAGTCGTCCAACAAAAGTATCAATAGACAGGCAGTCTAGAATTGCTTGGTGAACCATCACTTCTAGAAACGGCTGAGCTAGAACGATGAACATTCTCGCCCCACCTGCGCCTGATTTCATTTGCAGGAGCGCAAGAATATGTTTGGCTCCATGAAGCTCATCGCTATCAAGATCTCTCGGCAGCATTTGTTTCCATTCTCGATCATCATCATTCAAAATTCCTAGAGCGTCGGTCCACAACAATTTCATCGTGTGAGTATCGTTGACAACAGGCTCGCGTTTAATGATCCTCTTCCATTTATTGTAGTTGACTCTGGCGTGTTCTTGGATTGCACTTTCTTCTCGCCTTTGACGCGGTTGCTGATTATTGGAAGATGAGGGTTCTCCGTGCGAGAAGGAGCATTGCGCACGACGACACTCTCCTGTTCTCTGATAATCGAAGCAAATATCGGATGCTTCATTGCCTCTCCCTGAGTTCCCTTTACCTCTGCCTCCCCGGCTGTTTCCTCTGCTGCTACCTCCTCTGCTGCTACTTCCTCTGCCAGTATTTCCCCTGCTATTACCCCTCCGCGAGTTTCCGCTTGGCCACTCCACCATAATGAGTAATTTAGCAGCGGGTTTGCAGTAAAATTCAAGAAAGATTTTTTTTTTTTTTTCCAATCAAGTGTGCAATAATATAAGATGAGAAAACAATGAGATTTCTCACTGGAAAATACAAGAATATTCACTCAAAGATGCAGCATTGTGATTTTAAGACGGCTGAAATATCGATGTCCTGAAAATCATTGTAGGCCTCCAATCTGCGTTTGTCCAATAAAAGCAGCTGAAGGGTCGCATGCGAGGCTGGCGATTTCGTTGCGAATCAACAACAGACAGGCTTCTCGGGATGGTGCATAATCTGACAGACAAGCCCCGCATTAAATGTGCTTTTTCATCCTATGAGCAAGTGTTTCAAGCGAGTTGCCCGAGGCTGAGCACATTTGGGTAGTATTGATGGGATGCAAACAGCATTTCTTCAGCCAACGGTTGAACGGCCCATGTGCAGCATTATTCTGCCTTACAGAAAACAAACGGCAACACCAAGGTAGTTTTTTGGTGGCGGGGTTATTTGTTTTTCATGTGTAAGACATCGTTACCAATAAATTTGTCCACATTAAAAATTCGTAGACGCTGATGCTAACAACGCACGATTCTCCCGAACGGGATATTATTTTATCATGTAAACGTCGTTGCCCTCATTCAAACGAATCGCAAAAACAAGGAAAAACGGATGACGCTGTCCCCTTCCCGCAATTAAGGGGTCGAAATATTACAAGCCACGTCATGCGGCACAGAAATGAAGAATCTCTTTCAAGCTGTGGTACAATCCATATATTCGCCCATTTGCACCGCCGCCATAGATGGGCTGAAAAACCTGAACGTACTCTGCGTTTTCTACTATGATGGTATTGGAATGTATAGATGAGAGCGCTCGAGAGAAGTGGGTACGCAACCCATGAAACTCGCCGCTGCTGCACAGCTGATACTTAATCAATCAGAATCCCAGTTAAATCCTAAGGGATGTGAAATCCTAGCATATTGCGGTGCCAGACCGAGTCTGCCGAAATAAAAGTTGAGAAAAAGCAAGTGACTGTGCATTTGATGAAGAAAAATTGAAGGAAAGTAGGAAGGATGATAAAATGAGAACTTTGTGATGAGGTACAAACCTTTGGCATGAGACTTCTTCTATTTTCAAGGTTTGTCCTCTCCCTCTTAGACAACCTAGCACGTGAGTACCTGAAGGCTAACAACTTCCAAAACTTATGAGGAACCCCTACCATTTAAAATTTCCCTCACTTACTGTGAAAAAAGAAATTTCTACAACCGTGAGCGAAAGCTCACGTATATGCCATTCTCGGATTTGATATTACACACAGTTCCTTCAATTGAAAGAATCAATTGGGCGCCCGACAGCAGCTCTGCTGGTACCATGGTGGTAGGGTATCCTTTCTGGAGACGCTTGCCACAGGGGTTTGGACGCCTCATCAACGAGTTTTCCTAGATGAATAAGTGAACAACCTCATAGGAAGCTCCTTAATCATCAAGAGTTGTGGCGAGAAGCAACGGTTCGTGAATCTGATCTCGGATTTGTTACACACAAATTCTCAAATGCGCCATCGCAGATCGATGAGGAGATATGAACCGATACGGCGATGATTTGGCAAGATATTCTGTCTCCGGGATTCGAGGGAGCGCATCTAACTTCCTGATGGAGACGTGATCGTCCCAGAAAGACGGCATACTATCGTGAATCCCCCGAGGGACTTGATGTGTCGATGATCAGAAATTATCTCGGAGTTCAAAGGCGTGTCGAATCTCGACAGACATATCACGATGGCGAAGCTGCGAGAGAGACGAACAGATAACACGATTTCTACTAAAAGGGAAATACCCAAAAGGTCCTCGGAGATGTTGATTTTGACGATGGCCCATGCAGCCATATAACGGGGCGAACAAGTATGAAATGGGTATCTCAGCCCCATAGTCCGCGTTTTCCGCGAAGACCCTTAATTTAGGGCAAAAATATGGATGGCTCTAAAGGTCTCTCAGAAAACTTTTCCCCTTCCCGGGGACGGCCATTGCTCTTTCGACGTGCATGAAACCGTTACTCCACTTCCTAAGATCCGGGGCTGCTTACCTTTAGAAGGAAGGTCTTGTATAGTTGCATGTCACCCCTTCTTGAAGACTTACCCCCAAGGGGCAGCAGCAATCAATAATTTTAAAAACCTCAACCCTCCGCATGACTAGAAATGAATCCTTCTAAACGCCTTGAGGCTTTCACGATCGAAATTTGTCAATGCATTGTATGCATACCCTAGCTTACACTCTACGCCAATACCCGGTAGTGGACCTAGAGTGAAAGGGGTCCGCTACTGCAAACAACACCCATTAGAGGCGTGAAGCGGAAATTTCCAGCATATTTGGGAGGGGTTGAGAAGTTGATATCCACACCAAGGCCCAATATAAATTTCCACCATCATCTCAGTGCCAGAATTAATGCGGTTGAGATCCGAAGAAATCAAGGGACATTTCGCCGAAGAAAGCAAGTCATGGGAAACAGAGTAACAAATAAGTTGATAACAGATCTTCAAAACTTCATGGCTGTTGGGACACCAGGATAATTATTTTGCCACCAAAGATTTGAGTTGTCAACAATCCACCAAGGAGTCAGTGATCGAATGGTCCATTTGATTCTGTACATATTCTTTTGGGTCTTTTTGAAGGCGTCGCATACTCCGTACTACCTAGAACCTTCCCCAATACCCCACAGTGACACGACCGTTCTGCATCTCTTGCAGTCACATCCCATGAATCAGCAGGAGATTCGCTACCACGATTTTGTTGACTTTGCGAGATGATCTCTCTGTGGTTGAAACTCAAAAAAGAAATTCGGGATCAACATGAAGGGCCATCAATTGGCCCCTGGACGCTGCATATAGGTGTCAAGTATTCATCTCCATTTCAAAACCTTGAATTTGCACATCGCCATTAGACAGCTAAGTGAACCGCATTGGTGAAGATCATGAGGAATCGCACCGATTAGCATGCTGTCGGTCATTGAATAGCTCTCGGTAAGTAATTAGTAACGTGCGTGAGAGAGTTTACCAAGCCCAGCTATCTTGGTGGCCAGTATTTTTGGATACCATAATGGCGGCAAAGCAAAAGGTTCACACTAGTGATCAATTAAGCTTAGAGCATTCTTACACTGCAACGGTTTAATGGATCTTTCCGGAAGTGGATTGTATTTTGGAATAATATCGGCTATGGAAACGGACCAGTTATATCATGAGAGTTCTGAGAGATGGATCCTGGAGGGGTGAATTCAGCTGGATTTGTTTGGATGTGAACCTCAACCAAACTGCTGCTTAATACCTCCGTAGATTAGCGATCGCAATTCAAAGTCCGATAGTCGCCGCGATATCCGCGAGTCACGAAGTTTTCGGAGTATGACCATGTGTAACAAATATCATTCAATCGTTGATTTCATCGAGGGACAAGAGTTTTGGATTCGCGTCAAGGGTTACGGAGAGAGATAGGGAGGTATCAACTGAGAAGTGTCAAGATGTTTACTTTTCGCACGGAACATTTAATGAAGGTCGATACTTCTAAAACAGGTTCGATAGACGAAGCATTCGAGCAAAGTTAGGCATTTCAGGATTATGTTATAGGCCAAGATGCTAGAGTCGTAAGTGAGAAACCCTATCCGCTTTTACGATGTCGATACTACCGCTACCGAGCCTACTACATTATCGTATGTACCTAGGTAGTAGGTCGGTCCTAAGGAGCTCATAATTTTAGGTGTGTAACTGTACAGAAAGAACACTGAGCAATGAGAACAGATGTGTTCAGATGCTTTACTCCGTAGACAGACGTTCGGACATTCCCTTCTATTATTTTGATGAAACGGAGTTCCCGATCAAAAAGTGTGTGTCCCCATTCGCAAAGACCGACAGCGATACAGTACAGTATTGTTGTACAGCCCTCCTTCCTATATGCGATCCTCTCATAAGCCTCTATTTCCCCTCGAGACAAGGACAACTGTATCAAGCATTCCAAGAAGTCCCTCAATATCCGCCAGCCGATGAGTTACCGTAATAATACGTCAGCGTGCCTTTACTAACACCCAATTAGAATGCTCTGATAAGAAAAGGCTTGGCGACCAATTAAACGTCGATTTGGACCCCTGATATTTTATTTAGGCTCATGCACACGCGACAGTGATGATTAGTGTGGAACCTGGATCCTAGACCCCAGTCGATCACTTCCAAAAAAGTTTAATGAGTCTTTTCGCTGCCCGTTTGATGGTTGATACGTTACAACTTACTCCGTCCGTACGTTGCGATACAAGTCAAAGATTGATTTAAGATTGGTAGATCAAGAGGAGGTGAGAGAGCGATAACCAAGATTTCTTGAGGCTGACTGCGCATGATTTTTCTTATGTGGTGAGAGTTACACATACTAGATAGGTAGGTAGGTAGTCGTAGCACAAGATATAAGATTTTCCTGGATTTGGTTGACCGCTCAATCGTCCAATATCTTGTCTATCTGTGTGTCTGTCTGTCTCTCTTGTCCTCTGTTCTCTGTCCTCTTCTCGATATCTGTTCTCAACTTCTCTCGACTTCTCTGCATTATCTCTCACTAGGTACCTACTACCTTCCTACCACTACCGACACAACCTTCCGTGCATGCGTCAGTTGTGGCTGGAAGGGAAATTTTTCAGATTGACCAGTGTGCATGCAGCTTCGTATCCTTGAGGGCTTGAACAATTTGGGCTCACATCTCGGCACGAACTCCTTAAATCCTAGCACCTCCCGATGCTAATGGATCCCGTCTAATACCATTACGACCTTGTCAAGTCTTAGCTTTTCTCACTCCACTCATCTTGGTATCAGACTACTGGCCTGCCGTCCAATCAAACCCTAGTCATTGATAAGTTTTGATGCTTAGCTGAGCATCCTTTTCATCCATTTCATGTCGGAGAGTGGATTCGTTCAACGATGATACTGATTTCTGGTACATGGACCGAATTGGCGAGACTCGGAGTTAGCCCTTTGCATTTTTTGGCACATGGTTGTCGATGAAGAGATGCTCAATGGGGTAGGTATGTACGGTATAATTAATTACTATCAAAGATTGAATGAAAAAGACCCTCTTTTTTTCCCATTTTAACTTTCTCGCGCCTCTTTCGCGCCTCACAAAATGTCATGGTCAATCAATTGTATACGTTCGACGTCCCATACCATCCTTGAATCCGATTAGCCTTTTCAATTTACTAAACCACCAACGGCTACTTATCCATCTGTCTCCATATCTAACATTAGCCTTCGGAATATGTATTGGAACTATTATGTATACATGGCCATAATTAGTTTAAACTACTGGGTCTGTCTTGTGCGATGCACGCGTTTACAGGAAAGTCGTTGGGGCAGTTTTAAGAGGGTAGAGAAATAATGAGAGAGATGGATAACCTCGAAATTACCGTACGCGACTAGAGTGATCACTATACCAGCATCCCATCCCATATCCATATCTTAGCTTGATCCATTCTCCACCCCCTCCAATCTATACATATCAAATTGTTCCCCTCAATCCTCAATCTGAATCTCCATCTCCATCTCCATCCCAATTCAACAATCGACCACCGACAAACGTCAAACCTTCAAACTCTCTTCATTCCATCTTAACTCTATCATCAGATTAAAGTTAAAGTTCAACATCTTCATCTTCATCTACATCTGCTTCTTCCATATCTACCTAGTACCTACTTTTAATCGACAACCTACCCAATCTTACTTACCCTTTTTAACTTCTATCCTCGATCTTCAATCTTCGGTATTACAAAGTACGACATATACATTTACGACTATCTATCCAATCCTATCCTTCTTATTATCTTATTTCCAAGACACCGGATTCGAGAAAGGCTCATTTCCAATCATTGTATTGTGTGTTGCAAAATAAATCGGTACATTCACTGCATTGTTATCTGGACAAAGTTCCGGAGAATCAATTGGTGGACCGAGCAGCTTGCCAATCATCCAATAACCCGCCACAACATACAAAAGATCAAATAGAATCCGAATCCCGCCATTACTCATTATATCTTTCTGACTTTTTCCCTCTACGACACCCGAAGTCATACAGCTAAAACAAATACATCATAATAATAATCCTCCGACTCACCATTTATATTCCATTGATAATTTATCAATTGAATATAACGTGGTCAAAGTCAAACGTAAGATCATTTCTCATCAAACGGAAATTGATCTTTTTGTCCTACCAGTCCTACCCAAACTTCCCATTTCCGAGGCTTTGATTGTAAGGCCTACGATAACCGCATCATCAACCTACCTTTTTCTAGAAGGCGTACAACAAATCGCCGCCATTCGGTTGCTTTTATCTTGATTCGGACATCACCGATAAGAGTTAGAAATAACATTTCGCAAACTTCCCATCCTTCTCCTTCAACTTAACCTTCAAACTTGAAAGTGAAATTCATGTTCTTCGAAACAAATCAACAGACTCTCTACCCTCCTCCTACCACTTACGACTTGACAACGGAGAAATCAAAAGTCATGGCAACCGATTTCGCAATGCCTGTACAACAGTTCAACACATCTCCTTCCCAATATACTCTTTACAACGGTCACCAAATATCTCCAACGAATACCACACCTTCAACTCCCAATAATGCTTCACCCACCTCTCCAAGAAGTGGACTTCCAAATTATTTACCAACACATACAAGACAGTTGAGACCACCCAAGTCTCCATTGTATGTGCCAGCAGTTTTGCGACCCACCGATCCACCCAAGAGAATGATGAGACAATCACCACTTACTCCACCACAAAGTATGCATAGCAGCTTCGATGATTTGGAGAACGCGACAACATTGACAAGAAGATCGACTGGAGAGAGTGGAAAGTTTGGATTGGGCGCAATAACTGAATGTGAATGGAACGTCGAAGGGCTTGGAAAGGTGACAGCATTGCCGACGAGAAATCACTGGAAGGTATGTTAACAAAGTTCCCATTTATTTTTCTATGTCATTTTGAAGCAAATGGCAAAACTGCAGAACTGCAAGAATTCTCAAAAGGTTTGGGGGCATTGGAGGTATTTGTAACTTGTGCAAACAAATGTTGCAATTCCTTGATGAATATTACGTGCTTGGATTCCGCAATGGACAAATCATCCATGTCCAATAAATGCAAACAATTCCTCATCGCTTGGCGGGTCGCGTGCTTCAAAATTATCCACCTTGCATCCCAACATCTTCAATTTTTATTTTATAAAATCTATAAAATGGGATGCTAACTTTATCTTTTCTTCAGCCTGATTCCAAATCCTCCATTTGCGATGAAACAACCTGTACAAAATACTTCACCTACTTTACAAGGCGGCATCATTGTCGGCGTTGCGGAAATATCTTTTGCGATCAACATTCTGGTTACTCAGTTCCCCTCGATCAAGATGCCAATTATCATCCAAAGGGTACACCAAGCCGCTCTTGCGAACACTGCTACAATGGTTATAGAAGCTGGTCCATTGCACGATCCAGTCGATCCAATAGCGAAAGTTCTCAAGAAGAACCTACTACTCCAGTTGTCAACTGTATCAGAGGCAGAGTAGTTGATAACCTTCTCGGTGAACAATTGAAAGGTCCAGCTGAGAGTCTTCCTGCAAGTGTCCCAAGAGATTGGCACTGGAGTACCTTTTGAACGAATTATCGAAATTTACATATACATCTGGACGTTACGAATTCGACGAATTCCCTTTTTTTGATACCATATTAACGACAAGAAACGGCCCTATTTAATTGAGATGTAAGAACATACAACAAGAGTCTTCAAGCAATAACGACAACAACCTTTTCAACAATCCAAAGTTTACTTGCTCGTTTGATTTAGCTTTGCTAGTCTACTGCTTCATCACGTTTGATTACCCAAGATTCACTTTACATCTCGATATTTTTTTGCCTTAGCCTTTGTGCTTGAGAAATTTTTTACTTGCTTTATTCGTCTTCGATTTTTTGCAAGTTCTTGAGCAAAGATCTTTCTATACATCTTAGATTAATGATTTTTTTTTTTTTTTTTTTTTTTGTTTTTATGTTTGCTGTTGTTTTAGCGTGGGGTTTTGATACAATCATTCGCTTTTTATATCATCTAGACTTTTGATATTGGTGAATGAAAGGGAAGATATAGGAGTTTTTATCTGAGGGAGTGATTCTAATGAATGGCGTTTTCGGCAGGAATGAATGGAATGGAATGATCATTATGGGTATGGATATGGGTGAATGAAGATAGGATGGATGGATGTTGGTTGGGTGGGTGGATATACCGCGGGAATGATATGATATGGAATGGGATTGATGGTTGGGTTTTGGGTGATGGGCAGTTCATGAGATGAGCAGAGGAGTGGAGTTGAAGAAAGGGTGCTAGGCATTTTGCTAGCTAGCTGGCTTTGAACCTCGTCTTTTTTTTTTGGTGTGTGGTGGTTAGTTAAATTAGATACCAGATAGATAGCTTTGCTATAATGATATTTGAAGATTTCATGATAAATATGTTTGGTATCTTTATGGTTTTGTTTTTGATTAGTGATGGATGTATAGAGCGTGATGGATTTGTAATATATTAATAGTATACTACGCAAGCAGATCTTGAGATATTCAATATGAACCCTGGAATAGATATTTGCAGGAGGGGACAAGGGAGAAGAGGAAGAGGAGAAGGGGATAGGATACATCATATTTGTATTTGTATTTATATTTATATTTATTCTTGAAAGGAAAAGTGAAAAAGTGAAAAAGAAGAGATGAAGAATTATATTTATATTTATATAAAATTAAGCATTTAAATATATAAAAGTAACCAAATATTTTTTTTTTATAAAAAATATAACAAGTATAATGTTACGACGGCTATCTTCTACGCCGCGTCACATGACTAAACCAAGGTAACGTGATTAAGTCACGTTATGGACCGCTGAGGAACGCTGGCTGTCCAGGACCGCGCAGCGGTCCTGGACAGCCATAGGCATGAAGGTCTATATAATCAAGATGGATTTCCTTTGTATAGAGCTTCGTGCTCAAGATCAATCATTTAGTATACTCTACTATTAGTTACAAATTGCATATCATTATTGCCCTTACTTAAGTCCCTGCTTGACGCCTAGTTATAAACCACCTCGAGAGCCTAGAGCACTTCCACGTGATCTAGACGGCAAACCTTGTAACATATAAATTACAATTGTTTAATCAAAAAAAAAAAAAAAATTTATAACCTTGTAGATAGAGATTATATTTATACATCCAGTGTCCAATTTCAATATTCTAAATCCTTTCATTTCATTTCATTCTTGGTATATTATATAATATTATATAATATAATATACCTCATGCTTTCTTTCTCTCTTTCATGTTCCAACTTCCTATTCTTATAACCATGTATATAAATTCAAATAGATAGACGCCTTTAAACTCCATGCTTATCCATCCATACCTAATATCATATCATATCATATCAAATCAGAACGAAACAGAAAAGGACTCCTTATCTCTCCAAACCCGGAAATCTGTCTGACTTGTTGACCACTCGAAAGAGTTTATTGATTCTGGCGATGAGTTTCTTGGCTGTTGTGAGTAAGAGTCTTCGGACTGGCAATTTGAGGTTCTACCCTGTCTGCCTGTGTGTTGTGAGGGGAAATGTATCGAATCTCCAATAGCTGAGATACTGGAGTTGTAGATGGGGAACGCGGTAAAGGGAACCAAACGGGAGAAACGAAAAGTAAAGGCCTCCCCTTTCCTCAAACTTTTCCTGCCTATTCTCCTCAACTCCGCATCATACTCCCCCCTCTTCTATTCTGCATCTTCAAATGGTTGGAATATTCGTGTCTTCCTCATCCAACTTCACAACACCCCTATCGCATAACAGGTGGTCTTCCTTCCCTATTCCAAACAACTCTACTTCTTACCCACTCAACCGCTTCCCTCACACCTGTTCCTCCTAACGCACTAATTGGTAAAACCCTACTATCCCTAATCCCACCACCTCCTTCTCCCTCAAAAACCCTTTTCACCAATCCTTCCTTAATCCTCACTACTTCTACACAATCCTCTCTATCCTGTTTATTCGCCAATACCAACACAGGTACCCCTTCCGTTTCCACACTTTTTAACACATCTTCCAATACCAATTTACATTCCTCTAATCTCCCTACATCTTTATTCTCAGAATCAGAATCAAGATCGGCAAGATCACCAGAACCAATATCCGTACTATCGATTATGAAAACAATGGCATGACAACTGGTGTAGTATGATTGCCATAATTTGCGCAAAGAGTGTTGACCACCTATATCCCAGATCTTTAAATACATATCTGGAAGAACGATAGTGGAGACATTTTGACCAACGGTGGGGACAGTCTTTAGTTGTGACGGATCTGCGGGGGAGGGGTCATGCGGGGAATAAAGGGATTTGATTTGAGTATGGAGGGTAGTTTTGCCTGCATTGTCGAGACCAAGGAGGAGGACGGAGTATTCTAAGGGAGAGGTTAACTCTTGAATGGAAGAGTAGAATTGAAGAATCATGTTTGTAGAGCGACCTGCGATTGAGAAAGCTATAAAGATTGTGCAATTCATATCTGCCAACTGAGATCTGACTTTCACTGAATCATAACCTCACATCCTAAGAGCTCGCACTGACGCAAAACTATTGTGTGGCAGAAACCCAAAGAGTATATAAACAAATGAAAAGCTGAACTAACCCTCTTTACTAGTAGCGTATCGATATAATCCCTTTGCTAAATGATACATCTCGACTTTGATGATTGTGCAATCTGCACATGCCAATTTTACCACCTTAGGACTCTCAAAGTAACGCTCCACGTCTAGAGAAAGTATATCACTTTTCGCGGGTTGGAAGCAGGAACTCTCCAGGACCTCCAAAGAACTGTCTCCGGAGCTTCAGAGACACTATTGAGTTAGGGAAGCCGGTCGTTTTGAACAGGTTAAGTGACGTATGCACAAAAAAATGCAGCCAGAAATCGAATTAGGTGCTAGGGAAGTGCTTCACCTCAACGTCGATCTCATATAAGAAAATACGAAGATTCGCAGATAGAATTGAGTCCTGCAAAACTGTTAGTGAGACATCAAGTCTCTAGAAGAAATGTGTCGCGACGACCCTCACCTAAGCCTTGACACAAGGCTGAATGACGCTAACCTTAAGCCTGCATGACGCGGAAGCTAGTGGACCGTAGCATTAGCGCCCTCACGTGTCAAACCGGCCAACAACATCAACATCTTAAGAAATTGTGTCTTAAATTTTGTGATTATGCTTTATAATTTATGAAACTATTTTCTTCCGTTTTGCATGAATCGTTTTTCAGTGACTTGACAAAACGTGGGTGTGAAAATGGCTCCCGTCGAAATTGATCAGGATCCAAGGTATTATATTCACATTCATATTCCCATGATTCGTTGTCTAAAATAGTATTTGATAATATACAAACGGGAATACTGACATATATATAGTTTTCTTCCGACTTTGCAAATAGGAGGACATATACTCTTAATAATATGTCTGACAGCTCTCGTTTCTCGTACCATGTATCGTTCATATCTTGCACTTCCACCTTCATCAGCCACAAGACATCGTCAACATTTGAGACGTGACCATGTTAAGATATTCATTAGTTTGGCTTTATTGGGTTTAATAACTGCTGGGTGGTTTGGTGTGAGCGGGGCAAGTTTGAGCTATAGGGTTTGGGCTGCTGAAAGAGGTGTTGAATTACCTGATAGGTTTGTTTTTAAACATGTTCATGAAGTTGGCTGTTTGTCATGAAATATACTGACTATGAGTACAGTTTCTTTGGTGATAAGGGAGCATTTCGTCTAGGCCAACATCCAGGCCGGTTTGATATCATCAGATGGCTCAATGATACGCCTTTCTACCGTGATAACCTTGAAATAGTCGCGGAAAATGCGAAATATTTCTGGTGGGGTCAACAAGCTAGTTTTGCTATGAATTCTTTTAGTACCTATGTTGCAATTGAAGGACGTCGAAGAAATATCTCAAATTTATGGGCATTCATTCTCCTGGGACAACTCGTTAATGTCTCATTTGCTCAAAATTTGTGGTTTGTGGCTATCTTGCTTACTCCAGTGCCATTACCAGAGAACGTGGATATCTTGACAGATACAAGGAGAGCTTTTGGAAGCGTGCATAAGTGAGTAACCATTTTTGAGATATTAAGGAAGATATGTTGACAGTCATCATCTAGATTATGGTTTGAGAAGATTGTCCCACAGCGAGCAAATAATTGGCTTCCGAGTTCTGGATTCTACATTGCCTTACTTCTCTTTGGCCATGGTGCCATGTTTTTAACACCCTTCGCGGCAAATACATCCTCATTCGGGAAAATAGCACTGTTATCTGTATCACTTCCATTCGCACCATTATTACTTCCATACGTTATCCCTGAGCATTGGGGAACTACGTACGATCATCCACATAAAGCTCACTCCTCATACATGGGAGTCTTCCGTAGTATCTCAGTCATATCTTCGATCCTTCATTTTAGAACCACAGGTTTGGCTCTACTTCACAATACACCGGAGAATCATTATTACCGCCACAGTATCCTTCATCCACTCGAAAAAATTCATCGGTCAAACACAAATCGCATATTCAAAGCACTTGAAAGAGTCTTAGGTTCAATTGCAGATCATCCTGCTGTAGGGTCAGTGGGATATGATGTTCTTCTCTCGGGTTTAAGTCTTGGAACTTGGTCTGCTATCAGAGCATTGGATGGTAATGAGATTTTGCGAGTGGTCATCCCTTGGATGAATAAGTCCAGTACAGGAGTGAAAGTCAAGGAGGAAGTGGAGAGTACCGCTAAATCGTAAGAACTTCTGTTTTGTATTACGAAGATATGATAGCTAATAACCTCAAAGAACTGATATATCTCCACTTCGTCGTCGAGGCCGTCCTAGAAAATCTACCAAATCCCAACAAGATACTACATATGTCCCAACACCTAGTACTTATGCAGGTGCAACTGAAGGTGATCAGGATGGAGATGAGGATTGGGAAATTTCTGCGCTTACCTGGGGTATAGTATCTGCTGCAGGTCTAGGTGTTGGTAGTGCTGCGGTTTATGGTGCGGAAATGACTGCTAGGTAATGGATTTTCTGCAAGGGGAACAGGATTACAAATGATGAATTATGATGGAACGTTAATGGACGAGATGACGATGGTGATGGAGTATACAAAAATGGAGTTTATTGGTAGGATTTTGTGATTACATTGTTTGGTTGTGGGTTGTCGGTAGCGCAACACCGCTCCAAAGAAAAGAGGTCATTAGTGAACACCATTATTAGCCCAGTCCTAAATCGATATTTACCCATCAACCTTGGGCTTATGCCATCCATAAGTCTTAGAATAAATAGGTAGGATCTTAGTATATTCTCATCTTTAGTTATTATATTTATTATATTGCTTTGATGTATTAGGTATATGTAATATAATAATTACCTATCTAGTAGCTGTGGAAAGATTCAGATTCAGGTTCAGAGATGGATCATTCCTTTTATGAGGAAATTTGTCCTGAGGTGTAGAGAACAGGAGATGTAAATTACCCATTTCTTAGGATTTGCTGATGTATGAAATAGTTATGTAGTGAAGTGAATGAAGAGATGCTGGATGAGATTACTTGGTACAAAAACTCGCTACATACCTAGTACCTAATTACACGTAACCTTCTATCCAAGTCCTTTTTGTATTGATAGATAACCCTGATGATATTCGTAAATAAGAAGTCTTAAATCGGACAGTATAACAATAAAATTATATAAGTAAATATTATATTTAGCAAGCTAGAACTCATAAAGTCTGCAAGACTACTTGAGGTTGGTATCACAATACCTATCCATTACTTCCGTAAAATGAAAGGGGGAGCTCACTTTTGAATTTACAGATGTGTGGTTTTGTGGTGGAAATTGATGGTTTGGGTTTCGGAGGGGATGGAGGTAAGGTTGGGTTCTTGCTTGCAGCGTTCTATTGAATCGTTACATGATATCTAGGAGGGAGGTACTGTTCATTTTGACAGTTGTCCGTCCCTCCATTTAAATACTAGAAGTTTCATGATATATCCTCAGTTCACTTCCAACCACCCTCCCGCACACCCACCATATTCACTTCTCTTCACTTCCTCCGTTACTTCACAACCACAAAAGAAAAATACCTCCTACATCATCCTTCAACAACCCTCAAAACTCCAGAGAAAACAAAAACAAAAAAAATAACACCGGCCGCCATAATCCGCGAAAGGTCTCTCGCTATTTGGGATCATCTTGAACCTATTAATACGCAGTAAATGTGCGAACTTGAACCGCTACCGCTGTGCTAGAAGCAAATGCTGGGCCGAGGGATATTGGGTAGTTTCGGTTTATGTAGATGGAAGGGAAGGAGGAGGGATTCACTGGATGGTAGTGCTGGGGAGCTGTGGAAAGAAATAGTTTATGAAATAAATTTGTTTGATGTCTGAGTATAATGTTATGGATGAAGGAAATGTCCTTCTCCTGGTAAGAGAGTGATATTCCTTTCACAAAGCTTTTTTAATTCGAGTTGTGATTGGCGATTGGGAAGACGCTTCGAAGGAAGAATACTATACCCTACATGAACATGAAGTCTTCCAACATCCGAGCTGATCTAGAAAACTGAAGAGTAATCCAATATACTACATTTTAAGTAAAAAAAAAGCTCTTCACTAATTCTCTCGTTTCCGTAACCAAAAAAGAGTATATAATTATAACTTTTATAACCTTCAAAGAAGACACATTCACATAAGATGTATCTGAAAAGTGTCTGGAGACTCACTAGATATGCGGCCAAGTACCTTTCATCTTCATAGCTGACTCTTCCCATTATTTCAAAGCTATAGAAGGGTACATAAGCTGAAGCGCGAGAGTTAACGTTGCTGCGAGCGGGTCATTAATGATTGATTACTTCCCATCTATCACTAGCATCACCTGAAGATCTGAGGAACAGATCCTTTCAACGGTACAATCAAAATATTTCCGACCCAAGTTTGGAAAAACTCCGCCTCTACTACCATGACCTCTAGGTGCTGTATAAATCCATGAGCACGAGATCAATTTATTCGTAAGTACTGTTCCGCCATTGACTGTCTACTATCATTGATGGGATTTATCCTTAACATAGATTTCAATGCTCAACTGTACAGTTGAAGAATTTAAGTTTCTTGTTAGATATAGCATATTATTGATTCTTCGCCTATATCAACTCCTAAATCTTCTCTATGATATACTGGTTTGCCTTATAATAGGCCCAAAACACGTCTTTAGAATGTTGATTTTTGAAAGTGGAATCTTGATTATTGAAGATATATAGTTAAGTAATGGGAGATTGGTCTTGTTAAAGAGTTGTTGATGAAGGATAAATTAGATTTGAGGTAAGAAATATAGAAGATTCCTGAATGTGTTCTGATATGCGACTGTTTCCCCCTTTGTTAAGGTTCACTTGAAATCGATTTCGAGGAGGGGTGGAGGGATTAATATAACAACTTCATTAGCGACAACACCCTGACCACAGACATGATTTCTACTGAGGATAACGTCCATATCACCAACATCATACCTACCATCTCGACCAATATCTTCGTTATCCCTCTCTTCCCCCTTCTCAACCTTCTCTCAAATTCCTCCAGCATCTGCCTCCTCCCCTCACTGAAACCAGCATAAAGATAGATGGATTATCATCATGATAGAATGAAACGTCTTCGCTCATAGAATCACTCCCTGCTCCTCCTTCTTTTCCCACCCCTCATCATCCGAACCACAAACTACCATATCTTGAATGGAAGAGATATCCTTCTTCCTTTATGATCAAGAATCCCTTATGCCATGGTTCTGCCCAATGTTAGAATTTTCCCCTCTCTTTACAAAATGTGATCAAGGAGATGACGTCCTCTTAATCTTTGCGATTAGATGTAAAGGTGTCTTCGTTCTCACTTGTGCGATATTATCGATCTCTTCATACAAGCCGAATATACATCTTCTTGATTATTTCATCGATCCTTGTTATGCTATCCCTACCATTTAAGAACACGACACCATCATGGAAAACTCATCCGAATACGTAAAAATCTCGATTCGAATATGATAGAAGAGTTGCTGCTATTACCAGCATTCGTTTGCGGTCCATCATGACTTTTACCAGATTGAGAACGTAGGATTTAAATTGACCTAATGTAAGGTACCGTCTACAACTATCTCAATCGCGAGAGATGGGTCACATAAGATATAGAAATGAGCTCAGTGACATTACGAAAGTGCCGTAGGTTATTTTCATGACGGATCATCCATATAACCACACGTGACTCGGAGCTTTTCCGCGAAGGAACATTAAGAATAAAAAGAAACTGGGGAAACAGAACGCCTTATGATTACCTAATCGAAGGTCCGTGTAACGATACTGTACTGGAGGCAGCGGCTGCCTGAGGTTCGTCGGTTGGTAGTTATGGGTTAAGGCTTTATCACTGGTATTCACTTGGAAGTGAAGTCGTTACTAGATCAAGTAGAATGTAGGTAAACTAATTGATAACTAAGTTGAGCACGAAGCTCCTATACTATGAAACTACTCTGACTACATACTCTGAATAACTATTGAATAGCCTGAATAGATTGGTCTACCCGGGGCTATCCCTTAGACTGGATAGACCAGTCTATCCAGTCTATTTATCACGTGATCATTATTTGCCTCAGGACACTAATCCTAGGATGATTCGTTTCCTAGGATAATTTAACTCCTAGGATGATTGTGCTGGGACAATTATCATCCTAGGACGTTTTATCCTAGGACACATACTATTCTAGCTCACCCGGATCTCCCAGAACACTTGTCCTATACCATTGTGGTTGCCTAATCGTTTGTCCTAGGACATTTATCCTAGGACACCTTATCCTAGGACACCTTATCCTAGGACACCTTATCCTAGGACACTTATCCTGGACACTTATCCTAGGATTCCTAGGATCCTTATCGGAGCCGATAAGGAACCCCCCGTAAACCGCGGTTAGATCACATTCCCCCTGTTTTCGGCAGCTAAATCACCGACACTCATAATACTACCGTAACCTAAATGTTACGACAGGTAACAATTAGGTCACAGGATTAGTAATAACACGTGATGCAAGGACTCGAAGAGCTCGAAGGCTTGGCCTCTCGAGCCCTTCGAGCCACGAAGCATGAAGGTCTATATAATCAAGATGGATTTCCTTTGTATAGAGCTTCGTGCTCAAGATCAATCATTTAGTATACCCTACTATTAGTTACGAATTGCATCATTGTCATTACTTAAGTCCCTGCTTGACGCCTAGTTATAAACCACCTCGAGAGCCTAGAGCACTTCCACGTGATCTAGACGGCAAACCTCGTAACATATAGTTTAAAAATTACATATTAAAAAGGCTTTTTGTAGAGTTTTTTAGATTAATAATTGTATATTAAGGATATAAAGATAGATCTATTATTTGTAGTTATAGATACCCTTTTAATCTTTATCCCTGGAGCAATTGTGACAATCATTTTACCATTAAAAAATCTCACGGGGACACTTGCTTCCCGGGGCACTTGCTTTCCCCGACTAGGAGCTGGTCGGTCGTTTAAGAGCACCGACTATTACTTCTTAGTGTATACTCCAGCCGCACGAGCATATCCTCTTTACTTCAGAATCTATAGAGTAGGGTAATTGAGGTGCGGGGGAGGGAAGAAGGGGTAACCAAAAAAAGAGGCACGGACGTCGCCCCTGCATATGCAGCCTCGGCAGAAAAGTAAATGTTATGGAATCACAGCTGAATTGGAGCTCAGCTGCTCCATCATCGTTCCTTTTTTCATCCAATATAAATTCATATCGTTCACGTTCAATTGAAGACCAAAGAAAGATCCTATCACGATGACTTCGAATACGATTGATATTATCGCACCAATCGTGACTCCATTACCTGATCCTCCGGAAGGTCAATACTTCACGGATTTACAATGGAGTACATTAATGGCCATAATGGATACTGTGATTCCTTCAATTCACAAGGCCTCAATCACAAATGATCCATCCAGTCAGCTTTCTGTTCCCGACGAACAATACAATGACGCTGTAACTTATGTGCGAACAACCATTTCATCGCCACCTTCAGATGAAGCATTAGAAGCATATCTCAACGAAAAACCTTCCGATATTCCAGCCTTTCAAGATATACTCCTTCGTACTTTAACTACATATGCCCGAGAAGATGCTCGTAAAGCCCTGAGCTTTATTCTCACCACACTCAATACTCGCCTCGGTTCATTAATGCTCACAGGATACGCCTCACCCTTACAGTCTCATCCAGTCAATATACGCCAGTCTATTCTTACCAATTGGCGCAATTCATATTTCTTTCCCCTTCGAGCTATCGCCAAAACAATGTCACTATTAGGTAAACACATTTGGTTGAAAACATCCCCAAATTTCGATAAAGTCACGGGATTTGCAAAAATTCCTGATCATTATAAACCAGGACCTCATTATGAGTATGAGTTTTTACAATTCACGGCGAGTGATGAACCACAAATTATTGAAACGGATGTCGTAATTGTAGGAAGTGGATGTGGAGGAGCAGTCTGTGCGAAGAATTTGGCGGAAGATGGACATAAGGTTTTGGTGGTGGAGAAATCTTATTATTTTTCTCCTTCACATTTACCAATGTCCGAAGCAACTTCAGGAATTCATCTTTTTGAAAATGGAGGAGTGATAATGAATGATGATTCCAGTATGTCCATTACGGCAGGAAGTAGTTGGGGAGGTGGGGGGACTGTCAACTGGAGCGCGAGTTTGCAAACTCAAGGTTTTGTGAGAAAAGAATGGGCGGAGGATAGAGGGTTGAAGTTTTTTGGTTCGACGGATTTCCAAGAATGTTTGGATAGGGTTTGTGAGAGAATGGGTGTTAGTGCAGAACATATAAGGCACAGTCATGGAAATCAGGTGTTATTGGAGGGTTCAAGAAAGTTGGGATTCAATGCGAAATCTGTTCCACAGAATACTGGAGGGCATGAACATTATTGTGGACATTGCTCGAATGGATGTGGATCTTCACAAAAGCAGGGACCAACTGTTTCTTGGCTACCTGATGCTGCGAAGGCTGGTGCAGAGTTTATTGAAGGGTTCAAGGTTGATCATGTTATTTTTGATGAAGAGGATGAAAAGAAGGCAGTTGGAGTAAAGGGAGTTTGGACTTCTAGGAATAGTCGAGGTGGTGTTGATGGTCCTTTGTCCGACAAAATAGTTCGAGAAGTTATTGTCAAGGCGAAGAAAGTTATTATATCAACTGGTACTCTTTGGACTCCTGTTATATTGAAGAATAGTGGTCTTACAGTGAGTTTCGATTACTTTTTTATCTTGAGGCTCCACTAACATGCTTTATAGAATTCACAAATTGGAAGAAACTTATATCTTCACCCTGTCAGTATGGTCGGTGCCGTATTCCCTGAAGATGTAAGACCATGGGAAGGTATGACACTCCAATCTCCAAGAATCATTTCTCAAATTTATCACTAACAACCGTATCACCAGGTGGAATTCTTACCAGCGTCTGCACCTCCTTTGAGAACCTTGACTCTCACGGCCATGGCGCCAAACTCGAAGCAACATGCATGATGCCATCCCTTTGCATATCCACCCTCAACTACCCAACTGGCTTCGAATCTAAATTCAAATCTCTTCTTTACCGTCACATGAACGTCTTTATCTCAATCGCTCGAGATCGTGACACCGGAATTGTATACCCTGATGCTAAGACGGGTCTTCCACGAATTTCATATACACCAAGCGAGTTTGATAGAGGCCATATTAGGCAAGGTGTACTCGCCTTGACAAAAATATGCTACGTAAGTGGTGCGAAGGAAATTCACGTCACAGCTTCAGGCATCAATCCATATACTCGATCTCCCTCTTCCCTTTCAACCGATTCAAATGATCCCTCCTCAGACCCTGCATTCCAAACTTGGCTCACAACCCTCTCTAACACCTCTACCAAACCTCCATTATCTCAATTTGCATCGGCGCATCAAATGGGTACTTCTCGTATGAGTACTCGTCCGGAAAATGGAGTCGTAGATCCTAAAGGAAAGGTTTGGGATACGGAAAATTTGTATGTTAGTGATGCGAGTGTTTTCCCTAGTGCAAGTGGTGTTAATCCTATGATTACGATTATGGCGATTAGTGATTGGATTAGTAGGGGTATTAGTCAAGAGTTGAAGGGGAATGGTGGTGAAGAGAAGGTTGAGGAAAGAGCGAGGTTGTAGATTATGGGGTTTAAATTGCTGGAGGATTTGCCGAATTGGACTGGGAATTGAGAGTCGGATATTTGGTCGAGGAAATTGAATTAAGAACTTGTTTGGTATGATCAGGTGTTGGGGGTAATTTCTTTATGGATTATGGCTATGCATGAACTTTCAATCGATAACGAAAGTGTTAATACAGATATTTCTCATTACTCAATTTTCAAGACCTAAAACTATGGCTTCATGATTTACATATACTCCATTCATTCCCCCAATGTTACCATATATCTATCTACCTCCTCTCCACAACAAAAAATAACAAAAATTACAAACCATAAGATAATATACTCAACAATCAAACCCCCGCTGTCTGTAAATCCCTCATCACTTGATCATCCGTTCAATCAATTCATTCAACTCCCCACAAAGCTAAAAGCTAAAAGCTAAAGACAATACGAAGCCTTCAGAACAATATTAAGGAGAACCCGCTAATTTAGCGAGGGGATTATTTCCCTTGATTAATTATTTTTTCCTTTCTTTCTTTGAATATTTGGGTTAGCTAACTTCCTTTTAATACTAGATACTTGGTGAGGAAGACTGGGAGGTATATATTGAGGTCTCTCCTCTTTCTTTTGAGGGGGTGAGGATATTTCGTCTTCTTCTTCTTCTTCTTCTTCTTCTTCTGCTTTTTATCCTCACTCTTATATAGTTTTAAGATTATATTATATTACATTACATTACAATAACCAAGTCTTTCGTTCTAAACTCATTCTTTTCAGAATTAAAACTTTATTATTCTTCTCAAATACTTCCACTTTCGCTCCAGGTTTACTTTTATTTTCAACTACCTCCCAAATTTACCTTCAATCTCAAATCTCCAACTCCAAAACTTCCAAATATCAAACCCTATAACCCCTAAGGTTACTCCTCTCAACAAAATGTTCGCTCTACCAATCGTAACGACTTTTCCCTATTATCCACGTCCTCCTCATATTCCTCCTTAGGATCTTTTTGGTGCGGGAGATGGATGCGTTATGTGTGGGGTGGAGTGTTTCTTTTATAAATCTTACAAATCTAAAGTTCAAATTTTAGAAAATCATATTTCAATCGCAATCTTACAAACCGGAATGAGACGTTTGAAGGAAGGTATTCTATATCGTTTCAACTTATATCATCTCCGCTCTATAATCTTGAAAATCCAGCGAGGAAGATATAAGAAACAACGGATAGTCGAGTATCTCGATGTCATTCATTCATTCATTCATTTACAAAACACATATCATTCATACACTCAGTCACCTCAATAAAAAAATCACTCACCTCGTGGCCTCGTACCCTCAAAGTCTCAAAATCCCTCACCAGCTCGAAATGTTACAGTGTCATTCTTTTTGCACTGGGATTCTCTGTCAGATTGCGATACAACGATTATATACCTATGACCTTAGAACCTCAAAACCTCACACTTTCAAGATCCCAAAATCTAGAATTATCCTCATTATCTTTCACACGAGAACACAATTATACGATTACACGATCAGCTATCTAACAAACCACAACTCGATCTTATCCTCTCCCAAAATCTCATAACCTAGCTATTCAACATCACAAATTCAACCGCGCTCATAACCCTCCTCACAACCACAATAAAACAAATATACAATAAATAAAAAAATCCATTCAATTATATTCCTACTCAGAATAAAACTCTAAACTCTATACAAATATTACATTACATTTTAACATATCAAGTCTCTTTCTCTACATCAATCTATCAATCTATCAATCTATCAATCTCTACCTTTCTCTACCGATTAACACAGCACTTCAACCTCACACCTCATCACACCACACCACAACATACTATAACCTCATCTCTCCTCCCCTACAAGACACTAGGAAACTAGATGTATCACATATAAATACATATATACTCCATCTCAATCTACCCAGCACACAAATCACAACACATAAATTCCATAATCCATCTCAATTCACACACCACAAAAATCTAGACCCCCTTCCCCCTTCCCCATTTTAACACCTCTACAACCTGTCCTTCAAGCTCCACCTCCCCAAAACAATAAAAGGAAAAGAACACGACAAATCCCCACCAATCTCTAATCTCCAATCTATCCATCTCCCAATCCATCATTCATCAACCACTCAATTCCTCCAAACCCATACCTCCCTCCTTTCCCTTCCCTTTCCCATCGCAGATCATCGCAGATCCAAAGGACACCACACTACTTCTAGAACGTACAATGTAGTTTTACAGGGAAAATCATCTGCTTCCAGCTGCCACTTTCAACCAAGCTACGCGTCTTTGAGCCGAACAGCTCATCTACCTAGGTACTCACTATCATCATACGATCGGTGGGTCAACGCGAAGATGAGGATTTGGGAAGGCATCAATTGTAATTTGTTAGAGTACGGCGATGGGTGGCTGGATGGATGAATATAAGAAATTTAAGAGAAATCACAATTTACACTTCACATTCACAATCTCACAAATCATATATCAAATGAAAAATCCATCGCATATTCATTTAAAATTCATTTGATTCTAAGCTGATGGTTTCCCATTCCAATGAAATGCAATCAATTTCCCTATTCCCAGCAAAATTAGATCAGGTTATGTATGTATCACCACCACTTTCATTATCCACTTCACCACTCCATCCCCTCATATCACTACCCACAATACCATATCCCTGCCAATATCTACTAGTCCATGCATACATCCATAACTCCATGCCAGCAGCCATGATTTTCCTATGTCCATATCCTCGTAGCAGCAATAAAGAAAACTCGTCAAAGGATACCACGCCACTAGCAACTCCATCTACAAGCCATTGATATCAAATCAATGCCCATTTTAATGCCTGCCGATACCCTTCCTTCAATATCGCAAAAATAAAAATGTGGTATCATAATAACGAAAAGAAAGTTGCCTCCTCCGGTAAACTTCAGAACTGCCACTTCCCCCAACTCCACATTCCTAAAGATAGTATGCGCCCCTTCATGTGGATTAAATGTTTGATTCCATTAATTTCTGAAAAGATATTTGTGATAGCGTTGTGATTTTGAATTGCGTATCGAAAAGAAAATGAAAGAAAAACGAAAGTGGTTGATGTTGGTATGTATTATTTTTGAGGCCGTGAAAATGATGTTGACGTACTTTGTGAGGATCTATTAAAAGATGGTCTGGACAAAGTATGTAAAGGTTGTCCCCGAGCTAGCCGCCGTTGTTCAACACGTCGCATTACCTCGGAATCTTCAGCATGCATACTGCCTCGATTATTCTTCCTCTTGGAAGAGGATACCACAGGAATCCTCAGTGATTGTGGCTGACGATTCATGGCTTGAAACATTCTGGTCTATATCAAGTATGTTAGTGTTTGGCACAACCTATGATCCAAATATCCTTTGAAGGAGTCCCTTCTTGGGAGATGAAGTCAGTGGCACTTCATCGCTTGATGATGAGGTGGTCGAGGGAGAACTGTCAGATTTGTCCACTTTGACATTGCCATTGGCTGTAGACTTATCAAGGTTGTTCAATGCCGCCGCCCCAATAGATTGACTAACTGCGGATTGTTCTACCCTGCTTTTATCCGGTGGGTGCGCAATCAAAACAGAAGGTGCACCAGGGTGCTCTATTACCTCAGAAAGTGAGCCGTTTGGTATATGGTTCGGGATATCTCCTGTGGAGTCTTGTGATAAGACGTTTTGCTCTTCGGATTCAGTTGCCTGCTTCGACTGGCGGTCGATAATATTAGAATCTTCCGAAGATTTCACGCTCTCTGGATTCCGTGTGCTTGGCCCGTCAAATGACTTACTAGCTCCGGCAGCTAAAAAGGCGCATTGCGGAGAAATTACAGACTCAACCGTGACATGACCATCCACGGCTTCACTGTTGCCGTTCTTGGTCAATGGAACAGCAGCTCCGAGCTCCTGGTGGTTGACTGATAGGGCAGAATTCTGAACTTGTTTGCCACTAACAGGCTTTGGGGTTGGGCGCTCTTTCCACCAAGATGAAACTCGAGTTATAAATTCCTCAGTTCCCAATTCCAGGGTCAAGAGTTTTTGAGCCTTATCTTCCTTTTCGAGAACGAATGCGTACGCCCTTTGATAGACTACTCTTTGACGTTCATCATCCCATTTTAACTTATTCTCATAAAACTTTTGGATGTTCTTGCTAATCTCAATTGCTCTTTGCCTTATTTTATACTCGTCGTCCGCGAATTGATGCATAGTCCTGGCGATTGTTTTAAGTACTCTAACGAAAGTTTCCTTGGCCTATGATTTTTTAGCTTTTTGAGAATCTTGGGAGAAAGTGTGGCCCATCTTACATTTCGTCCTGCAGTTATTTCTTTAAATCGTCCTGCGGATATCTCTTCTATATCTGAGTTTGGGTTTTTAGTTTGGAAGTTATTTCGAGGCTTGTTACCATTGACTATTTCATTCTTGACAATGGAGGGCATTAGTGGTTGATGTCTCAATGGAATCTGTTGTCCTGCAGCAGTTTCAGCTAGTTTTCTTGTCCGCACAGCCTTCTGATAAGCCTCGGGATCAGAGCGCTTTAGTTTTTCTTCTTTAACCGTTGTGTGGAATTCCTCTTTCTCCTTAGGGGTCATATGATAATCGTCATCCTTCTCAAAATCATCAGACTGGATAATCTTTAAAATCGCCCCCTTATTCTCTTTGAGACTAAGGATATTGTCTAAAACAGCATTGTCCATTCCTTCAAACTCTGTAAGGTTTTCTTGTGGTATTTGTCTTGGTTCAAAGAGAATTTCTCCCAAACCCTTCTGAGCCCATGATAATGGGTTCTTCTTATCGACGACCCTCGAGGCAAGTTGCGTTTTGAATACTGCTTTATTTTGGATACTATTCTCGAATGTGCCAGCAGCCATCAAGCGATAAACAAACACGTGTTTCTTCTGGCCAATGCGATATGCTCTACCGATTGCTTGCTCTTCGTTGATAGGGTTGTACCTGAAGTCAAATATGACCACCCTATTAGCACCGTATAAATTTAAGCCCAAGCCACCAGCATTAGTCGAAATTAGATAGAGCTCTAAATTGTTGGAGTTGAAATCCTTGACAATTGCTTGCCGTTTACCCATAGCAGTTTTACCATCGAGCCTTGCATATTTTCTACCTTGTTCCTTACACATATCTTCGAGGAAGTCAAGGGTCACAAGCGTTTGTGAGAATACCAAAACTTTATCACCAACAGCTTTGGAAGCGTCGAGTATTTGACAAAGAATTCTGACTTTGTTTGACAATTCTGGGTTTCTAATGCTCTCTACAGACTCAAAGACCTTTGCTTCTGCAGAGATTAAGTCTTCAGAGACCCCAATTTTCCAGGCTTCTGGATCATTCTCAAGATCTTCATCTATAACGTCTGTTCGTTTACCCTTCCGACAGTGAGATGTGGTAGCGATACGTGTATCAGATTGAGAATTTCCGTGAACCTCACTGCTTCGCTCATCTAACTTTGCCTTGAAACAGTAGGGGTGGTTGCAAAGTAAAGTCAAAATGTTGATATATGACCATACAGTCGTTTGCTTCAGCTCTCCGGACTTTGTTCGAGCCGGTTTTTGTGATGACATTGAACGTACGTAGGTGATATATGCTTGCTTCTGGAGTTCAGTAAGAGAGACGTTGATGACGAATTCCTTTTTGGGCGGTAGATCATCTCTAAGGACTGATGTATCTGCACGATGAACCTTCGGGGACAAATCACCCTTCAAAACCTCAAGCATTTTCTTGCTATTAAACCTCTCCTGCCGGCTGCTATCGATAAAAAGCCCCTGTTCGATTGGTTCTTTGTATTTCTTTCGAAACTCATCTATAGGGCCAAGGTAATTAGGTGCAACCCATTCAACCATCGTGTGATACTCCTCTACGTTGTTTGCAAGTGGTGATCCGGTTAATGCAATGCGAGTTTTAGATTTGAATTGGGAGGCAGCCCAATTCAAAGCAGAATTGTAGTTCTTCATCTTATGCGCTTCATCGGCCACGATAATATTTGGACCTTCAAGAAGTTGAGCCTTTGCGCGCTCCATCTTGCTGATATAAGAATGTGTTAAAGGTTTATCTGGTTTTGGCTTCGGTGTGGTAATGAATTTGCGGAACATATCATATCCTATGAGCAAAATTCCCCCCTCGTGGAACCAATCGTTAATGGTACGGAACCTGCTGTCAAGGCTGGAGGCTGACTCGACAGGTCTCAAATCTCCAAGAATATCATCCGGAGACCAGGTAAGAAGTTCGTCCACCCAATTAGCAATCAATCCTGGAGGACAAAGGACGATCGTTTTTGACACACGAAGACTTTCGGGAACTTGTGATGATATAGACTCATCCTTAGAGGAGGCTGCTTGAGCCAGCGCAACGAGTATGGTGATTCTAAGTGATTATCAGAAACAGGTGATGAAAGAGGATTGGTTATACTAACGTTTGCATAGTTTTTCCTAGTCCCATAGTATGAGCCAGAAGGCATCCTTGCGTTGCTTTTCCATCGGCAGTGATTTGATTCCAAATGAATCTTACGCCATCTAGTTGATGAGGTTTTATGCGTTTGCCGATCTCTTTATCAATATAGATGTAACCTTGATCATCAAATTTTCCCTCATTGATGATGTGACGGTCTAATGCCACATCTCCAACATTGTCAGATTCCATGAGTCTAGCTCGGAGTTGTTTTTTGCGTTCTTCTTGTGCAGTTACTCGTGCTCTATCTTGCTCTCGCAAGTTCCGAGCATTTGCATCCTCAAAAAATTTTCTTGGCTTCTTGCTTGGTGACTCCTGTTCTTCAAAAAACTCCTCACTATCACTTGTACTATTCTCGTCTATTAGCCTCGAAAAGGATGTGATCCAAGCAGAGTGTAGTAGCTTACCTAACCGGTTTACGTTTTCTCTTGACCGAACCTTGAGGCTCACTATCCTCGTCGTCGTTAGACACCATTCCAGATTCTAATGGGATGTCTGCTTTAAAAAAATTAAGACGAATCTTTGGATTGAAATAACCCTGTAATGATTTGCAAAGTGTATAAAAATAGTGAAGGGAGCTGAAGTCATCACTACGAATTGCACTAGCTGCAATACGCATCCATCCGTCATTTGCGAGGTGGAACTTGCAATCAATAAAAATCCAGAATAGCCTGACAAGATTCAGTAATGCCATGGATAACTGCTCATCCAAGCCCTTAGTCTCGTGGCCGAGGTCTATGGATTCCTCCACACGGGCTCGCAACTTTGTTTCATCATCCATTGTCGCAATAAGCTCAAACAGAGACTTCTGTACGTGGCTTGGAAGCTTGTCGACAGCTGTAACTATGAGTCGATCTCGGTCTTTAGAGTCCTCCCAAGTCTTATAGCCAAAGCGAGACACAGTGGCTGGTGTCGTGAGCGACGGGGGATTATTTGGACCCGATACTGGTCGTAAGAGATGCTGCCCTTTATCAGATTCGGATGAAAGAATGATTGGATTGATATGACTTGTAGCTTTGAGGTCTGACTTCAATCTGGATACTCGATTGCTATCCGGCGTTACCAAGTCGATGAAAGCGGGACTAGTCTTCTTAGGTGTGGATGTTGATAATGGAACTGCCCATTCGGACTTGAATTTATCGTAAGAGGAGTGCGTCATTGGCTCGGGAGATCCGAGTTCTTCGTCGTCAGATAATGGAGCCACATTGTGGTCCCCTTCACTGGTATGATCATGGAGTATAGAGGACTTGGATCTTGAAACTGGTTTAGCTACCCCTCGAGCTGGAGTCATGGGAGCTTCTGAGAGACTGTCATCAGACATGGTCACATCTTCCTCATCATCCGCAAGGTCCAGTTCCTCAACAACAAAATCGCCAATATCGCGGACACTCTCGACCCCGGAAGACTCGCTATGTATGGATTCTCCAGAGTTACTGTCATATGCAGATGGGACGGCTTTTTTAGGTTTCACAGGAATATCTGTGGTCAGTTTCGGAGGTGGAGACTTCTTCTGGAGAAGAGAAATTGTGTAGACCAGATCCTCTCGATCAAAAATAGTTACTTCCATGATGCGAGTTTGGTGGCGTACTTGATGCTCGTTTGACCATTGACCGAGTATTATGTTCTCTCGGAGTTTGGGGATGCGTCTATCAACAAGATGTTTTAAATCTTGCTGTGCTTTTAGGATATCTGCATGCTTTGATCCTGTCCGACGTGACTTTTTCCAAAGTCGAAATGCTTTTTGGCGACGTTTGGGGAGCTTTGTTTCTTGCCATTGGGAAACCAGATCTGCGATACCTGCATCAACAGCCATTTCTACCTCTTGTGGGGTAAGAAATTTGTTCTTTTGCTTCTCCTTTTCAATGTATGCAGCCATCTCCCTAGCCTCCTCATCTATGGCTTCCCATGTTTCTGTGTCAAAACCATTCTCTGAGCCAGATTCACCATACAATGGTAACTCTTCATCACCCCCCCTGAGCATGTTGTATTTGTTCAGAGCATCGGGATGATCATAAGCATTCGCCAGAAGATCACCTTTCGCATTTGAATCGAAACTGAAGGTTGACTTTCCAGCTTTTGAAGAATTGACGAGGGATGCTTCCGGGTTAATTTCGGGCCATGACGATAATTGTTGCCGGGTGACTTCGATTGTATCGTCCGAGCTGGAGCGATATAGCGTAAATGAAGGTTTTTGGGTGAGTCGTAAGCGATATGTGTGAACTGACATCAAGGTCTTCTGATTTCGCTCAAAATTTCCCGGGCTGACGCTAAGGAAAATTCTCATGAGGCTATGGATATAAAGACGACGGCCAGGAACGATTGGGAGAAAGTGAGGGTGTAAGGAGGAGCGCTTCAGAAACATCATTCTCCAATGGTTGGTCCAGATTTTGACGAAGAGGTTCATCATCCATTCTCCGTCGCTTGTTGCCTTCAGATACATCAGACACATCTTTACCGGCTTGATTCGAATTGGAATTTAACCCTTCAGCTTCTGTTCTCGCTATTAGTTTTAGAGGCTGCAGACCGGCGATGTTTTGAATACCAGAAATACCAGCTGGAAAATTAATTGGTATAGTCGAATTGATGGTGAAGTTGAACTCGGGTTGGGACGACACACTCGGCAGGCTGTTACCATGTTTCTCTGGAATCAGAGCAGAATTGGCCAAACGACGTTCTTTGGTATACCAATCCTGGTATTTTGCGCTTCTTTCGCGGAGTTGCTCGATTCCATATCGAATGAAAGACCGCCAGCCAAGTTTGGATATTTGAAGATCCTCTCGCAGCGTCTTATCATCAATCTCGAGTAGAAGGATATCTCCCGTGATTTCATTCTCCCGAAAAACCTTCTCTAAATACGCCGGGTCTGGTAAACAGCTGGAGGCTGCCCGAAGTCCCCACGATCTTTTGTCGGTGCAAAACTCTTGAACTATCCTGTCAACCGACCAACCCCAAGGATCATCGTCCTCCATTTTGGTATTGGTATGATCAGAAGTCGCTATCTGACATGAAGAATGATTTGTCAGTGAAAGTTCTAGCTGCGATAGCCAACGAAGAACGTAGGAATTGCGAACTGCAGGGAAACTGTTAGTTGTAGTCATAAATAACGCCAAAGAATAACACCTATATTTTCAAAGGCTAGATTCAATAAAAAGGGCTGACTACTTTGATAAACAGAGCAAGTGTAGGAGGTAAAGTGTGGTAGCAATAGTGGTCGCTCACTTGGGAGAAGGGTGTCTGGTGTAAAAATGGAAGGCTGAAGTCCAAGACTTCAATCGTTATTCTCTCTGAGAATAAGTATAAATCGAACTCGTAAGTGAATTGAAAAATAATGGGCCGAGTTGTTGAAGTTATTAAAGTTGAAGTAAAGACATGGAGTATTGACTGACAATCGAAAATAGTTGCGATTTTGCACTTCTAGGAAAAGGGCTGGTTGTTGTCAAAAAGAAGCAAAAATAACATAAGAGAATCTCTCTTCGCATTAAAAGGATATGATGATGAAATGTATCGAGTTATTATTCTAAGATCGCGGAAGGTCAACCTGGAGGATTTTGCGACGGCGAGCTTGGTTAGAGATGCAGAGATTGAAGAGATTGGAGGGGTTAAAGGAGAAGGGAGGGGGAATGAGGGGAATCATCGAAGCTTAGAAGTTAGAACAACAGTTGGAAGTTGAGGTTTAAACAGTAGATTGACACGAGCTTTCGCACCCATCAATCACGAAAATGCGTGCTTGCTGCTCTAAGATCTCGGCCTTGCGAAATTGTCAGGTAAGCTTAAGATGTTGATGTTAAGATGTTACTATAACGTTCCTTATACTCGTTGTTCTCTTTGACAAGCACACATTATCTTCGAACATGACATTTGAGGAGTCAAAACTTTATTACATGACATTTTAAACCTAGAGACTTGTTCAACTTCACCTTAACACCTTGGTGCTTATCCATTTCTTATCTTTTTGATAGCTCTCCACAGAGCTTTCGCGTTGGTGTGTTTCTTATCGTTATCGAGAATCTCGTTTCAATGTTCAGCCTTGTGAAGCTCCTGCCAAGATTTCATTCAGTAGGGTCACCAGATGGGTGAACAAGCACAACACAGAAGCTCATACCCAAATTCAACCATCTTTAGAATCCATCAAAATTTCTATCTCCATTTATTTGGAGTTAATCCGTAATATAAAGCAAAATCTCCACATCGTCAAAACATATCTTGCATCTCTTGCATTTAATTGCGTGGTTTTGTCTTCAGATTTCAAACTTACAAAGCAGCTTTTGAATAACCAGGGGCGGAGTTTTTGCGGAAACATTTTCAGGTGTGGTGACAGATGTGATGACAAATTATTCACAGAACTGTTTCTATCATTATCAATCTGCTGTTCTCAACCTTATTACTATAGATAGATCCCATATACAGAACGAGGATTATCTTAGAATCTATCATCATAGGATTTTAAGAGGGATAGATCTATCAAGAAACTCGTTCGCTGCCGTCTTTTATTACACTTCGAAATTCCACACCATCGTTCGTCCTGAATCGCTCGTTCATCATGACATCTTCATACCCTCCTGAGATTTCAGCCGAAGAGTCCCAACAACTTCTAGTGACCATCAAAGATTGGTCCATAGCTCATGGATTGGCCGTGAGGCCTCCACCAGCATTGGTCTCTAACCAAGCAGACCCTCATGGTGTTTTGGCAACCACTGCACCGGTTACTCTATTCCCAAGTCCCTTTCCTCGAATATGCTTTGAGCAAGCCAAATCAGTGCAGAAGGCTTATAACATCTTATATGCATCTATTGCTCAAGATGAGTCTTTTCTTGGAGATATCGTGCAAGAGTAGGAGCTCATGAAATTCCAAGTTCCATTTTGGTTTCAAATGTTCACTGGAGAATGATTCTGACTTTTTACTTAGAATCATTGAAGTTGATGAATTCATTGCCGAACTTTGGCGTGTTCACTTGAAGGTCAAGAATGAGGGTTATGTTCAGGTGAATATTTCTAACATCAATTTAATTTAAAGTGGTTGAAAATACTGATCGTGAAGAATCTTTCTCTTGGTCTCTTTCGATCCGATTACATGGTCCATCAGGAAACACCGGAAACCACACCTACTATCAAGCAGGTCGAATTCAATACCATCGCTGCTTCATTTGGAGGATTATCTTTTCAAACTTCTCAATTGCATAAGTTTGTGTTTATTAATGCTGTAATATATTCCAAGTCGCTGACCGTTTGTTAGATACTTGTCATTAAGTGATTACAGCTTTTCCAATAAAGATGTAACCAAATCATTAGATCTTCCAGAGAACACAAGCACTGCATCATTAGCTTCAGGGTTGTCACATGCCTTTGATTCCTACAAAAATTATGCCTCTAAATCTCATCACGATCGCTGCATAGTTTTCCTGGTTCAGACGCCTGAACGAAATATCTTTGATCAGAGACATCTTGAATATGAGCTGCAAAAGCAGGGTACACCAGTTTTTCGACTAGCATTCTCCGATGTTCTTGCCCATACAACTGTAGCCCAAACCCCAGAAAGAGAACTTTTATATTCACCACCAAGCAACCCTTCAAAGAAGTTTGAGGTTGCCGTTGTCTATCTCCGTGCCGGATATGGCCCTCAAGATTACGCTGACGAATCGGCTTGGGAAGGTCGTTTCCAAATAGAACGATCAAACGCTATCAAATGTCCTTCAATCTTGACCCAATTAGCTGGAGCCAAGAAAGTCCAACAAGTACTTGCTACACCAAGAGCTCCCTCTACCCCTTCAATCCTGAACCGCTTCGTTAAAACAAGCGATGCAGATCTTGAGAAATTAGAAGATACATTTACAAACATCTTTCCACTAGATGAATCTCCAGCAGGACTCGAAGCGCGCAAAATCGCTCTAGATCCAGAACTTTGCAACGGATATGTCCTAAAGCCCCAACGAGAAGGCGGAGGTAACAATATCTACCGCACCGCAATCCCCGCATTCCTCAAATCCCTCCCTGAATCCCACTGGAAATCCTACATCCTCATGGAAATCATCACTCCACCACCCGTCCACAACATGATTCTCCGCCACGGAGCCATCGAAAAAGGTGGTGTGATCTGTGAGCTCGGTATCTACGGAACATGTCTATGGGATCAAAACACCTCGCGAATTCTCCACAATGAGGAGGCGGGATACCTTCTACGAACAAAGGGTGATAAAAGTGAAGAGGGTGGTGTAGCTGCTGGTTTTGGTTCCATGGATAGTGTGGCTCTTATTTAAATCTATCTTCAGTAGAGGAAACATCTAGTATTAGAGGATTTTCTCCAATGTGCCTTATGAAGCATATAGCTAGCTAGATATTAAATCAGAACCTCACATGGCTTTGTCGTATTTACGGAGCTGTTTTTGTTGAAATGAAATTTAGCGTACCCCGCAAAATCATATATCCCTAAAGATTGAAAAATCCGAGGAATCAACACCAATAGTTTTTAACCTAGGTTACTATCCCCAAAGTCTATATTTTAATGCTGCCCATCTGCTAAGGTTAATTTACTCCGTATTAAATCATCGTTTAATATTAACATTAACCTCACTTCTGTTTTTATAAGATTAATCTCATTTTCATTTCTTTCTTATTCTTATTATTATAGTCCTTGTTATGTTATTTTTCTTTTCAATATTTCTATCTATTTATCTATTTTATCTAAAGCGTGGATTTGTTGAGGGAAGTAGATGTTTAACTCCAGCTCCTCTAGCGTGTGCAGATTAGGGGTAATCTTACAATCAATGTTCTGTCCTGGACTGGATATAGAGTGCAGGATTGGGATTGGGATTGGGTTAGGTATGATTTCTAGGCGCTCATGCGTCAAGAGACAATGCAAACAAAATATTTTGAGTTTCGAGGAAAAAGGAAGTAGTAAAAGTCACCGTGTCATTTCCAACTTTCTCCGGTTGAGAGAAAGAGGAGAGGGCTTGAAATTCTTATAGGGTGAGAGCGGGATTTGTAGTTTCTATTGATGTATATTATTTCAATATTTGTTTTTCCTATTCCTATTTAATAAAAAATAATACACATCCCTTCATCAGCAATTTTCAGCGATAAAGGAGGACTCAGTATAGTTCATATTAAAAGTAGTTACTTTAAAAAGCACTAAAAGCTAGCGTCACGGTAGCGCTACTTCCCAAATCCCCCCTCCCGCATATTTCAAGTAAATCACAGATGATAGGCTGAGGCAAGCTTAGATCGACTTTACACCAAGCACATCTAGTGCCAGTTGCGTGATAATCATCTCGTCTTAGAGGGTGGAATGTCGATGGATTAAAAAGCGTCAAGCGAGTTTGCAGGATGTGAAGGACTAATTTGAAATATTTTGATATTCTCTGTTCAGAGCATCATCTGTGTGTCAGATGTGAAGGTACTACTTTGAAAAAATAATAATGGTGCTCCTTAAAAGTTCCTCTTCGGATAGATACTTGTCAACGATTCTGCCTCTTCAGTTCCCTTCCGTTCTGTTGGCTTTGGCCTGGTGATAGCTGAGCCACACGACCTTAGAATCTAACTCACAGGAATCGTTTGTTTGAATTTAATTCTCCTAATCTATCTCAGCAAACTTTACTTACTGTTCAAGAAACAAGATAGAAGTGTTTCTTAGAAGTTTCCGGCCATATAGATACCTAACACTCCTGTTGACCTCCTGTGATCTTGGCAGCATATGCATGTATATTGCATGATGCATATAAGGAGCAAACAAAGCTCAACTTTTAATTTATTCTTTCCTTTTTGGTATACTGTTTGTTTGCTTTCAATATTTTGATTTCAAAGCACTTTAATTCCGAAGGCCGAATACCTAACCTATTCCTTCATTTTTTGAATATATACTCGCAGCTTAACTGCTTAGCTAGAAAATCAATCAATTCAATCTGATACTCTTTCTGGTCTTAAGAAACCCAACAACTCCTTACAGACTTTCCATAATGCTCATCTCTACTTTGAATTGAACTTTGGAGTCATTAGACTAGCCAGCATGAGAAGCTAAGTTGATACCAAAAAGAACCCGCTCAACTATAAACCTATTCGAATATTGAGTAAAATATAGCTCTTTTAAACATCAATATTAAGTTCTGTACCAACAAACCCCAAAAACTTAGAAGCTATCTCTAGCCAACATCCCCACCATCTAACAGATGACTAGACAAAACCCACGAATCTGTTCTCTGCAGCAAAACTGTATAAATGGGGGCCCCTTTCCACATTCCTTTGAAACCTTCGCAGTTTCCATTTCGATTACACCGCTAATATAGTAACTTTATATCTTCAGCTTGAGAACTTCAAATTCACTAACATTCAACTACTTTATTTTATATATGAAATATATCAACCAATCAAGCAGATACTTATAACTCTACAAAACACTATCATACCATCTATCCGCCGCCTTCGCCTTAAAATTTTCCATACATATTCACTTCACACCTCTTTCCATCATACAACATATAAACACCAACCGAAGGAACTTCTTTACCGACCTAAACCTATTCCAAGCTTATATCACTATCCATAACACTTATAGTAAGATCACAATGATTACTTAGCCTTTTTAGTCTAAATAATAATGTAATTAATGCCTGTTTGATTTTTATGCTATGCTATGTTATGCTATATTGTCTTTTAATATTCTACATTATATCATATTATTCTAAGATTACAATAATACTTGCTACATTTAAAACCAGTCAAGTACCTCCTCCAAGGGGATGCACGCATCCACTTTAAACACAAAAGCTAATAAAAAAAAGTCTATTCCCAGTTCTAAACTTTGTTAACTCCTCCTACCGAACCCTCTCCTATCATCCTTGCTCACCCATCGCCCTCACCCCTCCCGCCAATAATCACCCTCTTTCTTCATAGACACATAACCCAAAAACTCCCACTAAGAAACTAATCGTCTACAATTCCACATCCTTAAAACAATCAAAAACTAAGTTTTCCGAATATGTCTAGCCACAAACCAGCACCAAGAACCCAGGCACGCACTATTTGCAGTGCAAGATCCATCTCCCCGTGGGGACGCCACTACTATTGGGTCCATAGCTTATCCTCAACGCCGCAGCGCCGCAGCACCTCGAAACACGTGAGAACTAGCTTGTGGTAGCTGTGGTCCAAATTTTGGACCGGAATAGCAAAACTAACCTTCGGGTATTCATGGACGCCATCACAGAATTGTGGGGTGTCACGTCGAATTTGGAAGCCTTGTTGGGACTCAGGTGTACAAGAAAAAGTGGGTAATTGTCTATTTCACCATGCGCTCAACTTTCTCTAGGTATAATTCCTTGTTCTGGGGGGTAGCAGCGGGTGTAGAGACTTCAAACACTCGACGACGTCCACCAGGATGAGGCCGAGGGCGGTCCTTTCGGTGACCAGTGACCAGAAATCTGCTTCTAAGAAGCGCAAGACCGGTCCAGCTGGCTAGGAGCCCACCGCCAAAGAGTTCAAGGGCGGCTCTACTGGTGGTCGTGCACTTGAAAGGGGTGAAGGTGCCTGGCGTCCTCCGCCACCTAGGTAGTACACTTGAGTGTGACTACCTTGATTGTTCACTCCATCTGTGAAAAATCTCGTATCGAAAGATGGGCTCCAATATGAACCTGCAGCTCGTGTTCTGGGTTCATCAGAGTAGCCTGGGGAGGAGTTGACATGTGGGCCTTGAGTTGCGACTTCTATCCATCTTTCCATGGTGGGTTCGATTCCCACCATTTTATGATGAAAAGTATTATGGACTTGGGGGGAAAGCTTGCAGAGGTCAATAGACTCTTGATTCACCGTCGACACTCTGCCTAGTTATTTGGTTCCTTTGTTCCCTTTTAGATTGCAGTTTGTTTCGTCACCGTTTCCTGTGTCTGCAACATTTGTGATCTTCACAAGCCGAAGAAACAGGGAAACCTTACTAAAGGGACTAGCAACCTTAAGGTGGATTTGTTCTCTGATGATGGAGACTTCATATGGAGGAAGGAGGGCAATAGATACAGCGCGTTGATTTCTTTCCCTTCGTCTGTTTCTTGTACACTCAGAAATAAGAAATGGAAATTTATAAAATTTGAGCAATAATGGGTATAATTTGGAGTAAGTGAACAAGTGTAATTCATGATTTTGATTTGAGTTGTGATGTCCGTGTTGAGAAAGGTGCCTCGAATGGTAATATTCTCATCAATATCTCTCCTTACATACTACCTTGAAAGTATGGTGAGATTACCTTTGCGCCGCCCAGATTCGATATGACATACACACGTGAATCGAAAAGTAAGTCTTCATAAATCCCATTATCCATCCCATTTTCATACCATTCATGCAGCCATGACTAGATGATTTATTCGCTTGTTTCTTGGGGTCTCTTGAATTGAAGGACCTCGAGTCTCTCTAATTGGTGGGTCAGCTTGTGCATTTGCGATGGGTAATATAATGATAATGGAAAGGTGTGTATACGTTGAATGGCGTTCATAGCACTTTTATTCTTTCCTTCAGCATCTTGATAGGTGTTCATTGTTGCCTCTGCCTCTACATACACTAAGGTTCTAAACATATATCAGCAGAAGTACTGTTAAATTCCCTTCTTTGAATCTCGAGGCTCGAATATGCTAAGTGGAAACATTCCTAAAAATGTCGGCACCCCATCAATTCCTTCTCACAAAGAACAAGACCTACCCTTTTTCCAAACTTGAGATAAAATCTCTTTGTGGTCCCTCTTGCATAAAGCTCACTACTCGAAACCAACTTGTCTTCTGGTTCTCTCCCCTGCCACTGCTCGTACCAATGGCATATTTCATAATCTCCCGTCCTTGGCTTGTGGCAGTTACTTCAGGCTTATCGGCAAGACGGCCAACGAGGGTAAGTTTGGCGAAAGAGTTGTTGCGAGCGCTGGTGGAGAAGTTGCGCGAGAGGGTAGAGGGAATGTTTCGACGGAGAGCGAACATGATTGCGATTCTGGAGGAGTAGATGATTTAAAATGGTTTATGCGCAAGATGTGGAATTGTAATGAGCGTGAGTTTGGCTGATGTGATTTTTTTTTCCTCTGCGATTTCGCGGTTTGGCGGGCATAGCATAAATTTTGACAAGGTATTTGAATTTATGGTGCCTGAGGCAAAATTATTCTCTCAAGCAAGTTGATGAAAAAGGCCAAAGGGCCCATACCCATATCCACCAGTGAGTGAGTGACCTTACCATTGGGATTTTACCGACTGAGACAATGAGGGACCACCGGTGGACTGAAATCTGGGGGAGATTTCAACATACCTAGTTAGGTATCTTTCTTACCCAGTAACATTACCTACCTCCAAAATCACTTGTCATTTACCAGGTATGAATTCCGACTGCAAACACTACATTGATATAAGGCAAAATTTATTCCATTAGGAAGTGCTGCGTGAATCCTGGGGAAGACTTCATCACTTGTTTACCAAATCGAGATCCCGAACCCAAAACACAGCATTGAATAAGTAATAAGTACCATTGATTCCACTCCGTTGCGATGCGGCGTGATATGATTTTCTGATGAGGAACTTCTTCATATTTCTGCAATTGAGCCATTTCGAGAAATCATTTACTTTCTAGATACTCCGACGAAAGACCACAACGTTCAAGATAAAAGCGACATTGAGATCATTGGGAATGCTGCGTCTTTACATGCGCAATCGAATGCACGCAACTATTTATTGATTGACGCCTGAACGAGGTCTTTTTAAATGCAGCTCGCAGTAAAGGGTATCTTGGAATCTTGGTATCTTGGAGGTCGCCGATTAAATGCAACTTTTTGGCCTTGTTGCGATATCTCAGTTCCGTCATGGTCACCAATCCTTTTCACACTTCGAACACGAACGGTTTAAGATCATGCCAGCGGATCCCCAAATAATTATAACTTCTTGTCATCACGGATACGAGCATCATACGTGCATCTCTTCACCCAAGAGAATCTCAGTTCAACCACCTCTTTTAATGCTTTCCATGCTGGTCTCAGCTACCACAGACTACCAAGTAAAGAGACCGGTGTACGCGGCGGTCAATTCGACAATGCAAGAGTACCAACATTATCTACCCGAGACGGTGTTACTTACGATGCTCTGTATTATCACCATCATCTTGGTTGAAGTCTTTCTAGACGCTTGCTCCTGTGACACTGTTTGATGTACTCCAGACTTTTTAATCTGCAGAAATTGAAATCGCGGTATGGATTGCATGCTTCATCAGAGTCACTTCGCATGGGATACTACTCTTCAAAGTTCACAGCCCCCGCCCACATCATGAAACACGACCAAGGGAGTTGGAAATCTTTTGTATCACAGATTCGAATTGCATCCTCATCCCCTATTTCATTGAGCAGCGCGTTACATTGACGTGTTGAAGTAATTATTTACACGAAACGGACACTTTCTTTGGAAAAGTATGATAGGTCGGATGAACACCAGGAAACTATCAATGTGCGAGCGGGATTAGGGTGCACATTACGGATTGGACCGAAAATGAAGGGAGTCTAAAAATTCCTGTACCTGAAGCCATTCCTTATGGAGAATAGATTCCTTGAAAATATCGAAAGAACTCCCGGAATTACTACCTATCCTCAGCCTAACCTTACCATCTGCTCAGGTTTTCCTTGTCCTTTCGAAACGATTCCCGGAATACGAATTGACTAATGCTGGTCAAGCAATATGTATCGTCAAGCAAATACCGTCAGCCAATCTGAATCGTTTCAAAGCAATATGTACCGGTTATGCAATGTACAGCTTATGCTTCCCTTTTCTCACTCCACCAAGTTGCTTCAAACCTTGGGAAAGCTTCAATTATCCGGCCAACTATATTATGCTCAAAAACAAGAAAAGCAGGATTTCTCGAGAAACCAAAAAAAAAACCAACCAAATAACCGCCAAATCGTTGGATGAGGGAAGTTTATTATTGAAAAGAAAATTTGATGATGGATGATGGATCATTGAACTACACCACCAAGCCACAACATGGTCAATGCTAATTCACATCTTTCCCCACAGGTCCGATTTGATATCAATCTAATCTCGCTACGTGGAATCTTTACTCTTTTAAACTTACTTCAGATCACAAATTTCCTGATTGGCGTCTCTGATAGACAGATTAGATACGGCAAGAAATGAAAGATTCTTATTTTGGGCCGAAATCCAAGCTATTTTCTCCGAATCACCGAGTATCGTCCACTCATACCCCTCCTTGAGATTCGGACGGGGCTTTGACATCTAGAAAATATCACCTCAACTTTCGTGGTACTGGACCGCATTGCTTGTGACCCCTACAATCCAATTATTTACTTTCATGCATCGTATTTTTTCGTATTGCAGCACGCCTTCCTGTAAGTGCAGGGTGATGTTAAGGCGGGGATTATGTCAAGCTACAGGATAAAAAGTATCCGTCAATGGGTCTGCTTTAACCAACACCACCCAAGGAAAGTCTACCTTGCAGTAGATCACCGCGGTCCGCGGTCCGTTGAAATGCCATATCAATCGTTCATCGCGGATACACTGATTCTTAAAAACACATGAGAACCATGCACAAACCCACCCGGCGATACCTCATCGGATATCGCAATCTCTCATAAACGCCCCCGCGCCTGCACTTAGCATCTTGGTCAGAGTTAAGTACCTTTACCTTCCTCGTTTGTAACGGACCTTACATCACCCCGTATAATATACCTTTGAAGATCATTTATACCCGGATGAACCATTGGGTCTATTACCTCACTACCCTTTGTCCTCATCCAAACATCCGTTACACGTTTCCTTCTTGTATTGTGACTGTTATTTCGTTTCTTTTATTTCAATATTGGTATTTTTCTTTCATTATACCCATGCAGTTTCCAAAACGATACACTCTACTACACTATACACATTGAGACCAGCTTCGGTCATAGTGTATTGTGCTACCAGGACTACTCTTCTCAATCTCATGACACAGCGCTAGGTATCCTGTACCAGTTCTGAGTGTATACAATGCAGATCAAGGGCTCCTTCTTGCTGGCATTGGGGGTTTCTATTCAATGGGTATTCGCGGCACCATGGGATACTAGGCTTAAGGAGCGCGATGACTCCTTAGCTCTATCTTCGACGATCATTCCCACGTCACCGTCGATCTCAAGTAGCGCGAAAGATCCGCGAAAAAGCAATGAAAGCCCAACATCAACTTCAACCACCGCACACTCGCGAAGTACTTCTTCGTCAATGCCAACTTCAGTGTCAGTGTCAACGACTACATCAACTTCGGGTACAATGTTGACTTCTACTGCCTCATCATCCTCAATAAGTGTATCAGCCACAACTATCCCTGTCACAGATTCGGCCTTCAATTGTATGAAATACCTACCTTTCTGTACGTTTTTACATACTGACAAGATTACAGCTACGATAACTCCCGGCCAATTACCTCTCCAGCCGAAAATCACACCAGCCTTTGCTATTGCAGGAGTCATTTTCGTTGCCACGGGCGCATTATATACTCTAATTGGAGTCAAAAACAGATGGCTACACATCTCTCTTTCGACAGCTTACCTTGTCAGCCTGGCGATAACGGTATTAATCCTATATGTTATGAATCTACCTGTTAGCAACGCCGTGCAGGGAGCATATGTTGTTGCAGTTGTACTACCTGGGCTCATAATTGGAGGATGCTCATTGATATTTTCAGAGATGGCCGAGGGCCTCGGATGTCTTCTAGGAGGATTCTGTTTCAGCATGTGGCTACTTGTGATGAAGGCTGGCGGGTTAATTACCTCAACAACTGGAAAATCGATATTAATTGCGGTAATCAGCATTGGGGCTTACTCATTATCTTTCAGTCATTACACCAGAACATATGGATTGATTGCATGCATATCATTCGCTGGATCTACTGCCATCGTTCTCGGAATTGATTTTTTCAGTAGAGCAGGCCTGAAAGAATTTTGGGCTTATATTTGGAACTTGAACCAAAATTTATTTCCTCTCGGTGCGTCTACGTACCCTGTAACAAGGGGAATCCGTGTCGAGATTGCAGCAATTTTTATTATATTCTTAGCCGGTCTAGTGTCTCAGTCAAGGGTACACAAGATGATCCAAGATCGCCGTGCGCAAAGAATTGATGAGCGACAAGAAAATGCCAGGGCTCTAGAAGAGGAGGAAATGAATATAGGAAAAAGAATTGAGGACCAAAACATTGTAGAAAAAGTACGATGGGAGGAAACATACGGTGATAACATCAAAATCAAATCCGGAGATGAATCAACACGAGATTCCGGAGTAAGTGATATGGAAAGGCCAACACTCGGTCCCGCCAGCACAATTACTTCCATCGTGGAGCTCGATGGGAAAGAAATTGAAATGTCCAACATACCTTCGCCTACCCGGTCGAATGGAACAGGACTCGTTATGTCTAATCGAAATGGGCACGATGGAGCAGTTACAGTGCGCGTCGCTCGAGATGTTGAACCTGAGAGTAATCATTGTGCGCCAGCGCGTCAACTTAGTCGAGCATCTAATCCGTCCCAAACAATGACAAATTTTGCTCGCGATGAAGTTTCTGTTGTTGAAATTGATGAGAATTCCCACTTAGCAACTCAAACTTCCCAGAAACCTCAAAATGGAACCTTTACTTCAGTAGCTACAGTCGCACCGGAGGTAGTGCCTCTCCCTTTCAAGATTCCAGAGGATGAAGTGGAAGATAATCGCTCTTCGATTGCTACCACTCCGGATGAAGACAGTGGCGGCTTTGCATTATTGGAAGAGCCCTCTACTCGATCAGAAAGGGAATCTCTAAGGTTTTCGAAAGGAGAAGGTGTTTACACGGAAGATTCAGTAATTCCTTATGCCAATGAAGACGACAGGGCGAGTTCCGTTGCAGCAACTATGGATGACCTTAGTGATGATGAAGATAGGGAGACAAGAAGTGTACGCTCATCATGTGTGGATCAAGATACGGCGATATCGGATGCACAAATTCCTGCAATTGAGACTCAACAGAACGAGCAAAGCTCGGTATCGCAGACCGAGACAACAATTGAACCACCGAGGGATGCACCTGGGGAAATGGTTTCATCGTCTCTAAGTGAGCCAACTCCCGAAGATAAACTTGATAAAGTTGCTACTGAAAAGCCTGGTATCATGCTGAATTCTGAGTTTCGACCAGAGTCAGGAATTACCGTTGCTACTGATATCCTTAACATTCCCGGAGGTCAAACGGTTTCGGAGGATTCATTGCCGCAACAGAAGCCTTCAAACGCAAGTGAGGATCCAGCAGCTACCACGATAGACTGCGAGGATGGGAAAAACCTTGAGGCTAACGAGGATGCTACTGAATCAAAACTTAAGACAGAGCCATCTGTAACATCCTCACCTGATACCAAGGCTGCGACACTCACGAAAGACCGATTACCTCCTCAACTTTCAAGGGTCGTCATGTCATATCGTACTAACGAGTGGGCAAAACATTTAAGTCATGCAGACTCTCCACAGTTGGAAGAACTGAATATCTCCGAGAACATTCCTGAGGACCACAAATCAGAATCGGCAGTTCCTGTGGATGTTGAAGCACTTCAACAGACAGCTCATGACGCTCTTCCTCCTTCTGCACCACGTTCATCATCCCAGCAATCAACCTCCCCAGGTTTAACCAGATCAAGCTCCACTCAATCAAATATCACACCTTTTGCTACAATACACGAACATGATGTTTCGACACGAAACTCCTCGCAACAATCACTAAGAGGTCATGCATCGCAGAGACAACGTCGCAATTCTCCAAATCCAAATATTCCCAGAGCTCATTGTCGAATCACCTGGAAAGAAAACACGAGCTTCACAAAGACACACTTCTCAAATGATTTCTCCTCCATTCGGAGGACCTAATACTTTAATGGGTAAAACGTGACACAATGTTACGCAATCGATCATCTTATTTTCCTGCAATTAAATTCTCCCACACGTTCCATGACCACTCCTGGACAATATCAATTCTCACCCTCTGCTTCACCTTCTCAAATAGATGATGAAACCGGATCAATCCGTAATTCTCTCAGTCACCATCACCTCAGCACTTCATCACCTATTGTCCCCGAAGACGACGATATCCCACTTTCTCACCGTCGCGAACTCATCCGTCAATCTACTTCTCAACCCTTAATCACACCCAACACAACCTTTAATTCGCATCAACCAAAACGAAAATCGGCGATCCCGAGCCCGATGGTGAGAGAACAGCAATTGGCGAGTTGGAGACAGAGTATAGCCAATGATGTGCAAGTGCAGAAGAAGAAGGAAGTGGAAGCCTTGGAAATTAGAAGAAGTATGTTATGGCAGGAACGAAGGGTAGAAGAGATGAGGAGAGAAGTAGAAAGGAGACAGAGGGAGGAGAAAGAGGAGAGATGGGATGAGAGGGTTAGAAAGGGTGGGAATGCAGGGGCAATGGAGGAGTTGCATAGGAAGATGTTGAGTCGGATGCAGGATGAGGCGAGGAAGGGTATTTAAGGGTTAAATGACGTGGAGTGGGGAATGGGTAATTATTTAATGGTTAACTTTGGATGGAGGGATAGGCAATAGGTGGATATCTAGCTCCTGCTAGTCTAGATATAGGTGGTGATTTCTTTTTCTTGTATATATATATATATATATATTTAAGGCTGGTGGGGATAATGGGACACACGATAGGTACTTGGATCACAGGACGACAGGATTGGACCGGGAACTGGAAACTGGGAAATGTATTATCAGATACGAAAGCTATGGATGAATGGATGGATGGATCAGATACCCGTGGATGCGATTCACTTAGCTTAGTTTATAAGTGATTTGAATGAATGCATGGAAGTCCGGCAGGGAATTTTCAAATATGATAGTATAATAGTATCGTACGTGTATATATATGCGTATTAGGTACTTATTTCATCATGCAAAAGCAAGAGTAAAATATTTTATTATTATATTATGTGCATGCGGGTCTTTCGATCTATGGAAATACATATCGATATCTAAGTCTGAGATAATTTTTGGGAGCTGTGATGGGATGGGATGGGATGGGATGGGATGGTTGAGGTGATAGATGTTTGGTAAGATAGCTGAGTAATTGAGTAATTGAATAATTGGATGGATGGATGGGAGGGAGGGAAGGGAGGGAGTAACTTTTTTTTGTTGTTTGTAGGATTAGGATTAGGATTGATTGATTTGGTCGGATGGGTTATCTGGTAATATCTTATGTATACTCGAGTATATGAATGAAGTTTTTGGTTGGAGTTTATTTTTATTTTTTATTTTTTGACCTGATTCTCTTCTTTTTGGGAGTAGAATGTGTAGTTGTTTATTTCTCCTCCCTTTTTTTTTCTTTGACTTCTCTGTTCATTATAAACTGTACCTCTGTCTTCAAATCCAAACTTCAAACCCCAACCGAATAGATCCCATCCCCACTCATCCCATCTCATATCCTCTCCCCCAATATCATTCATTCATCCATTCATTCCCTCATTCTTCACAAAACACATAGATGCAAACTACCTTACAATCATCTACCTACTCTATAAATAATATTTTTCTAGATTATACGTCCGTATATTCTAGCAGCTAGGCCTAGCGCCGATAGGCGGTACATAAATAATGTGGGTACTCCGTAGGTTAATCTCCTGAAGATGGATTCTGGATCCACAATCTTCGAAAATTCGAAAAATTTATTCTGGAAGGAAATTACTCTAGATTAGGGGGGTTCTTGTGAGGGATTGGTGATGATGTATGAGGTGGATGGTGGAAGGGTGGATGATGGATGGTGGATGGTGGATATGATATGATATGATATGATATAATGTGTGATGTATGATGTATGATTTTCGGGTTCTTGAATTAGGATGGTGTTAGGTAGGTGGGTGTTTGTATTAGGATTAGGAGGGGGGGAACGGTATTGTTTGGAGGGTAGATGAGGAAATGGGAGGTCACTGATTGTTCGGTATAGATACGATACTAGATTAGAATAGAATAGAACAGAATTCTTTCTAGATTGCGATTACTCTATATTTTAAGATTTTTATATTCTCGAGACAAAAAAAATTAAAAAAAATAAATAACGGTATGAATACAAATACTTCCTTAAACCTATAACCTATAAGGTTAACCGGATATGCCGGAAATCATCTCATCTCATGCCATAAGTTATAACAGTCGCAAGTCGCAAGTTGTATTCAATCACTCATTCATTCATTCATTCTAGGTTGCAACAGAATATACAAAGTAGATCGGATGAATCATTAGGTCCAGAGTCAAATAAATAGTGTTGGAGCCTCAGTGAGGCTTGCAAAGCTTGCTTGCTAGCACTAGCTATGAGTAGCTAGCTAGCTAGGTAATCATTTATAGGTGAGACCTTGAAGGTATGTATGAGACCTAACGTCATACTGCATGATGATAATTGTTCTCTAAAACTAAAAGCAAAGTTTGAGATACTACCGAGTGGGTATCCCTGTATTATGTATTATTGGGACAAGGCTGAATTGAATGATGGGTTTTGTTACCTGGGTACCTAGTGAGATGAATATGAATAAAAGAGGTGAATAACCATGGATGAGTTAATCTGAAAATCATGCATACATGCATGTAATTGACGTGTAGGAAAAATGAAAAGGAGTTTTGAGTTGCGAGTTGCGAGTTTGACTTTTTGGTGGTGGAGGCTGGCGCTAGGATGGGAGGGAGTGATAGTATAGACTTAGCCGGTTAGTCTCAGGGGTAAAAGTTGAAATTCTTGGGAAGAGAGGAGCTGGGCTGGATGATTTTTTGGTTGATTCTTCGGATGAAGCTTTCATTTCACTTCCGAGGGATTGGTTTGGGAGTTG